CGGTTTAAGTTCAACCGATATGATCGCCATTTTGTGTCGTGGAAATAAATTGAAACTGTGTTTGTGGTCAGTTAAATATGTTATAATGGTACATTTATGACATTAATCATAATCAAAAATTATTTTATTTAATGTAAGTTTAAGTGCATGTTTAATAAAGGAAGTGTTTTTTCAGAGTGAGATGGATGGATAACTTAAACTTTGGGCTAACTCAGTTACTTAGGTAAAAACGAAACTTTAAATGAGACAAATAAAACTTGCAATAGAAAGTCCTTTATTAGTAAAACAGGTAGGATATACCTTCACATGTAACGACTCATTAGTCTAGTGGTTAGTACCCCTGACTGCGAATCCATGGGTCCCGGGTTCGATCCCCGGCTGAGACGAACATCGATGTGATGTGCATTTGGTGTTGTGCTTAGGTCTTGGGTGTTTAAATATGTATTTATATGTCTATCTATCTATAATATGTATATCCGTTGCCTAGTACCATTAACACAAGCTTCACCAGCTTAGCATGGGACTCGGTCAATTGGTGTGAATTGTCTTTAAACAAAAAAAAACAAAAAAAATATTCAGTGTATCCTAGGTGGAACTCCTAAACCAAAGTTCTGAAAACGCCTCATATATTTACATTACTAATATTATTTTAGGATCGCATTTTGGATACATACATTTTAAAATTAAAATATTAGAAAGCTACAATAAACATTAGGATATTCGAATAATGTTCCAAACATTGACATGTGCAATGGCCAGTATGCAGTGCAAAGTGCATGTCGACATCAGCATTTGCCTTGATAAAGCTTCTATTACAGTTAAAGCTAAATCTATAAAATATAACCAAGAGGGAATGAAATAATTTTGCTAACGCATAAGAGTCAAGAGATAACAAAAACGTCAGTAAACTTCTTACAAAAGACAAGTTTCGTATAATTCGTAATGTATAAAAATAGTGATTTGTTTTTTTTATATACATGAGTGTTAACGCGTACCTAGGAACGAAAACTACTTTGTCTAAAGTCAAATGAGCCAATTAACCTAATAAATAAATGTAAAAGTACCGCCAAAATATGCCTCATATCATTTTATGTCATATTTCTTCAAATTGACTTATGACCGTTTCTTAATAAATATCATAAGATTGTTTTTTCTACATCATTGTAATAATGTTTTTTTATGTCTATCTTTTGCATTTAACCGTCGTTATATAATCTTTTCTATATTGATTATTCCAATATACGAGATTAAAAAATATATAGATATAACATGCCTGACTTAATTTATTTTTCTACACAAGGAATACAATCGTAAAACATAGATAAATTCAGAATATGATACATGGAACATTGTGAAGTTTGTTACATGTTGCCGATATATTGATCTCTGAAAGAAAATAATTAAATCGGTCCTTCTAAAATATCATATCGAACTTTTTGTCCTAACTCTACAAAGAGTATTTTATTATATTTCAACGGATGTCTATTTATGATATTTTAAGGAGTTCTAATTCTATAACGCGCGACTGACCATTTATAATAGTTTAGATAATTAGGATATCCTAAATCTCGATATGGGATAACACCCTTACATCAAAGCCAAATGTTATGCGGACGACAGAGATGTTTTGATCGCTATGTCATTTGAATACGCTTTCCTACTAAATGTATAGGGCTTATATTCGCGTTCATTAGCTGCTCCATATTGCGAAACGATATCGGGATACATTACAGCTTATTTCGGGGTCTATTTGACACAAAATCAATAAAATTTGTTGTGATACGCGTGAAAGAAAAAAATAATCATATCAAACTTTTAATTGTAAAATAGGGTTAATATATGACTGTGCCTTTGCAATGGCAATGGATGCTATTTTGGAAAATATTTTTTTTTTAATGTAAAGAAGAAAAAGGTACTTGACAATCCATCCTATAAGTTTTTATTTCATTGTATGTTCGTACGTATGCTCTGTAATATAATTATATCAAAGTACGTAAACTTAAATCTATGGCTAATTAGATTTTTCTCGAAAACAACTTAGACAACGATATAACGCACGATTTACTCATTTGTACAAATTGTAAAATTGGGTTATATAGGTCGATAACGAAGTAGAACACAAATTAAAAATAATAATAATAGAATTTAATCATGGACACAATCAACAATTAGCATAAAAGCCTTTAGTCTGTAGCACTCTCCAGTGACTATAGAACTTTCGATGTTGACTGACATTCCAATTGGCGCGAAATGCTGAATAATTTGACGTTTCACTTACCTATTGCAAATTAGTCGCCTACGTGGCTATGTGGTTACGCACATGAGTTGGGCCATGGTCCTTGGTTCGATTAGCAGTGAAAATAGAGTTGTTTAGAATTTATTGACGAATTATCCCATAAGTGCCTTATAAAATATTCATTAAAGAGCCGCAGAAAAATGCCCCATTAGGCCTGTAAAGTACATTAATTTATTAATGTTAATACGAGTTGTTTTGACGCTCAAACAAAGTAAAATAGAGTCACCAAAAATTAAATCGATTTTAAAACCATAGATATCGTAACCATGACTACTTATATAATACCATGTTATATCATAATAAGTAAAAGCTAATATAATAAGGAAGTAAATAATACGTTTAATCTGATTAAATAAAGTTCATAGGTACATGCAAATTTAATACAAATCCATTAACAAGTTTTTAAACTCCTGACACAGCTCCAAGATGTTATTTGCTACTAAAATTGAGTAAGTTTCATGCATGAGCACAACTTTGATCTTTTATCGACAACTTGAGAGCCTCTCGGTTTGAATATTGAAACTTCGCTTTATGTTTTATCAATATAAACATCTGATCTTCAGTTCTGATGTTTATTCACTCTAACTTATTTATGAACAAAAAAACACCGACCCCGTTATAAACGGTTTTGTGTATAAACTAACTTAGTTACGCCGAAAATATCAGTTTTTGGGTACGCACGAATGCATTGATTACATAGCCCATATAAAATAAAACATTCTAATGATTTGCCCCTTTTAGTTCGAAATACGCTCAGTGCCGCCTAAGTTTTTTAAGCAAGAATTTACTATTTTACTCTTTTGTAATTAGTTAAACCAAAAGTGCTAAAAACATTTAAAACTATATGCGACTCGCATATAGTTTGTTTTGAGGTTATTAGGAATTTACCTTGAGATTTTTAATAAAAAATAATAAATAGTTATGCCACGCTATACGCCTCAAATACTTATGAGAACATCCAGCTTATAGTGTACCTTTGTGCTTGTGTTTGGCCAATGCGAAATCACATCCATTATTTCTCAGTCAATCGCATCAAACACTTTAAATGCATTGAGTAACCAAGTAGGAAGAAGAGGTGGTTATTATACATAAATATACCTCACGGGATTAGGGGTTAGAGTGTTTCACTAGATAACACTTATTCTAGGAAAAAATTAATCGTCGCACTTTGGCAGTATTTCCCGCCATCGTACCTCGGTTGACCACTCAAAGATGTCTGCCTTTCTGTCCTTCCATCTCATCAGTCTATGAGAGTGATGGATTACGACTGTTTAAGGACTAGTGCTTGTTAGATATCTCTTGCATAGGTCGCCAGGCTCATTGAAGATGGTGGAACCAATCTGAAGAACTGTATAAAGTTTACATACAGAAAGATTACAGTTACGTTGTTTAGTTCGTAACACCGGAAACAGTTGTTTTCGGTGACTCAAACCAATTGAAAGATAAATCAGTTTATCAGAGGAGCCATAACCATACACTTCTGGAACTTTCTTGTATTGGGATAATAACAAACGGGAAAGCCATGGTACATACCAGTTATAATGGTGGCTACAAGTTTCTATTCAATTTTTTTTATATAAATCGATAATATATTAGATGCGTATTTGGGGGTCTAAAAATAAAAATGAATTGATCATAATATTTATTATCTAACATGAATAAATACATTCGAAAATAAAACGTAAAATTAACAAGATAAAAAGCTTAGTCTAAGAGACGCGGAATACGTAAAAATGCAAAATTGTGGAATAACAATACTTTATGCTTAAATTCTAAAGGTGTTTTTATTTTTATTTATTATTAATTCAACTGATTTTCACATAACCAAGAAGACAGACAAGTCCATGACTTTAAAATAGCTTCACTTGTTAAAATATTTTTTTTACAATATACAACTCGAACTTTATTAGTTTTCACATTAAACAACCTTTGATTGATGAGACTAGTGAAAATACAGAAAAATAAGTAAGCATTTATTAAATATATACTGTATGGTATGTAAGTATGCCAGCCAATAGGTTTTTCAACTTAGATATTAAACAACATTTATTTTAATTCTATATCAAATTATTTTAGGTAATTATTGCTTCAGATTTGTTTGTTTTCATCTCTTACATAAGAATTGTTGAAACTGTATTATACAGCCTTATCCACTTTGTATATTTTTTTGAAAATGATGTACTTTTGCTAACATAATACTTATGTGCTCTTACAAAATTAAGGTAAAATCAGTCAAGCTTTGTTGCCTTACAAAGAATGTTTGTGATATTGACTCTTAGACTATGTGTTAACACTTAGATGATAATTGCTAGGGTGTCGTCAAGTTTACCTGTAAAAATTTAATTTGAATATTCGGGTCCTAAATATTATCTTTACATTAATTAAACTTATTAGTAAAAAAGTTTCATATAACATAGACTAAGTTGTAACAAAGAAGTAATAGATAAGTATTATGTATTAACATAGAATAATATTTAAACACTCACTATATTATCAATTAATAATTTGGTCAGCAATGCCAATAATAAATTACAGTGCCTTTATTTTAAAGTAATGCACAGCAAAAGTTATGTATCAATTGGGATTTTTTTTTTGTTGAAAATTCACTCAACATTTTTTATCAATCATTTTGTTGGCTGTAACTGTGCCCCTTTATCACTTTATATTATATTACATCTTACTTTACCACTTTTAAAACTTACATCTACTGGGCCTTCTCATCCTTGATCTCTTTAGGGTTATTCTTCCAAATGTAGTAGCTCAATGTACTGGCGTATGCCAGCCAGGCCAAGTAGGGTACCAATAGGGCACCAGCGGTCTTGTTCACTTTAGCAAAAGCGGCTGTAGTTGCTACTGCAGCTCCACCAAGGACTGAAATCTCTATGAATGCCTAAAAGAGAGATGTATATAAAAAATGTATAAAAATGTTTCTTTAAACAACATTGAACCACAGTAAAAACAACATTTAAAGAAACGGCTGACAGTTTCTTACATTTTAGTTGGAACACTTACTTGGACAACATAGTAATAACTAGTGTTAAGAAAATATTTAGTATGCATTAAGTATAAACAATGGTTATTATTTTACTTGGAAAGCTTTAAACTGATCTGAAGACAGGCAAAAAACATCATAAACTTCAGTTAACTTTTTGTTAAATACCAAATTGCTTTATGTTTTATTTTAATCAGTTTAGCAACTCACCAATTTGAAGTCCTTGAGACCAAAGAATATGGGTGTCCATGCCCAGTTAAGTAAAAGTTGACCTCCATATAAAGTCAGTGGCAAAACTGCATCCTCTGAAAGAATTAAAAAATATTCCTCTCTACCTGCTGACACTATGGTGATTGATAACATTTATCTAATCTTATGTTATGTATAGTGAGAGTATGATTGATAATTTTAAATCTCTCTACGAAAACCATTTTTCGTGAATATTATTTTTTTTTTTATTATTGTAACATGCATTACTTTTTAATAAACATATTTATTTTTCAATACCTTTTGATCTATTCTATGGACTATAAAGTTTTTTAAATGACAACTATGCAAACAATAAATATGCAACAAACAAAAAATAATTTTATTGATAATGGCAAAAACAATTATTTTCATTAAATAAATCTCACCAGTAAAACCTCCACACTCTTCATAAACTAAATATGAAGCATATCCCATTCCACTGTAAAGTACTGTCCACGTGGGTCCAAACACCCATTTAGGTGGATTCCAAGATGGTTTCTTGAGTTCATCATACCAGGATTTATCTTCCTTACGAATTTGTCCAGCAAAGAAGATTCCATTCGCCCAACCTCCTACATTTGGAAGAATAATGGAGCCAAAAGCTGCCCAATTTGCCATTTTTAATGTGTCTCTGTAATTGACAAGTAACAAAATTCCATCAATGTTTTAAATACATGTATGGTTAAATTGGCTGACATGGTTTATATCTAATAAAAATAATTATATGTTTTTTAAGCATTCAGTCTATCACATATTTAGGCTCTATGTCTATATTAGTTGTGATATTTCATATAAAATGGCATATTTTTCCTGTTATTTCTGTTTTTTTTTTAAATTTTAACTGTCAAATTATGGAAAGAAACAAAGTCCAAGCACATTTGAATAAAGTCATTTAGAGGTCATTTAAAGATACATACATATAATTAAAAAAATAAAAACAGCTTCCTGAAACAATACTAGCTGTTGCACAATAATTTACTTAAATAGAAAAGTATAAGAAAGTATTTGGTTATAATCATTAAATTTACTATATTATTAATTAAACTTATTTTTATTATTCAGCTAGTTTTGAATTAAATAAATTATTTTGGCAACTTTACCTTGGATTTTCAATATATGGTTGTAAAAAATCCATTATTAATAAATATAGAATCACTAAACACACAATAACACTTTAATCAATCTAATCAGCAAATGGCTAAATGAATTGAGATATGATAATTAAAAATTTGTGAATATATACCATATAATATATCCACCAATTACAGCCAGTTATGTACAATTTGTTAACGGATTAATACGTACCACAGTCCACACTATTTCCTTAATTCTAAGTGCAAAATATGCTAATTTATACTCATAATAATTTTACACTACAGCTGTAAGAAGGTAGGCAATCTCGTGATATACTAACAAATATGTCGTAAGCCGTTTAACCTATTAGAATTATGGAATTGTTCATTTACCTACCTTATATGCACCGTTAGTCACCGGCAATTAGATAATAATTCTAAATGATTGTTTATGAGCGAACACAAATAGAGAAACCTTTTTTCTCACGATTTCAACTTTCCAGTCTCCAATAAGCTTATTGGAATCAGATAAGAAGTAATTCGCTTTGAAGTACTTTGAACAATAAAAGTAAAATCACAATTTTCTAAATGCAAATTCATATAAAACTTGAAGTTTCTAAAAATGTAAATAAAATGTCATTGTAACACAGCTTATCTATATCATCTGCAAGTCAGCTGTCTATTACTCTATTGACTATTCTATAACTCTACCACAGATATACCTAGAGCTGCACCATAAATTATTTTTATTAATGAATATTTTTCCTGGTAAAATTGTACTTAGAACTTTGCATTTAATGCAGTGTATACTTAGCTGCCTTTGTAAAAAAAGGAGTAACACGATACAATTAATACTTTTACAGAATAGACTACACATATAATTCTTTCGCCAGGTATCGAAACCAGGATCTCCGAGATAAATGCCGTGATCATAAACCACTTAGCTCTGTCGCGGTATTTAATATAAGAGATTCTTTTAAAACTTACAAATTAACGGCTAGGAGCTGTTAATTAACTGGAAAAGTTTTGCGTAATGCAAAGTCCTAAAAATACAAATCTATCAACTTTCCAATTTACGTGCCAGGAAATTTTATTAATGGAATTTATATAGTATCGTTTATCTATATAAGTAATATTTAACAAGTGGGTTAGATAAGTCTAGAAATTTATTATCATTGATCGTTATCACCAACCACCATATTATTTGTAACTGTTTTATTTCTAGACACATCTGAACGTTTTAACACTTATTATTTCATTTTTTTTATTAAAAATGGTTAACTGGAAGCTTATTGGTGCTTTGGCTTTACCAAATGTTGGTGGGTGGTTAAGTGCCCTTACAATGGCTGGTCAAGTTCGCAGCCCTACAGGCAAAGCATGGTATGACAATTTGAAGAAACCTTCTTGGAATCCACCAAAATGGGTGTTTGGTCCAGCATGGACAGTTTTATACACAGGCATGGGATATGGTTCATATTTGGTTTATGAAGACTGTGGAGGATTTACAGGTAAATTTCGACGGTATAAATCTGACATCTCTATAATTATTCTATTAATATTATTGTATATTTCCTATGAAATATGCAAGTTGTTGTTTTAATTGTAACCCATATTAGAAACATTGTGCACACCACAAAATTAAAAATATTTAATAGGTTTAATTATTATTAATTTTACAGATGATGCTTTAGTACCACTCAGCCTGTTTGGTGCACAGTTATTATTTAATTGGACATGGTCGCCAGTGTTCTTCAAATATCATAAAATTGGACTGGTAATTTAGAATAATCTTAATATAATATTTCTTGTGTGCGTGTGTATGTGACTGAACTCTCTCAAACGCTGGCCGATTTTGATGAAATTTTTGTGTGTGTTCAAGGGGATCTGGGAATGGTTTAGATTCACAAATCAGCCCGGCAGATGGCACTAGTCGGTACTTCATACTTTGCTTAATATCCTAATCGCTTTAAATATCATGCAGGACAACGTCTGTGGGGTCCACTAGTAATTATATAATATGAAATACCTTTTACACAAAGTATCTATATGCACATATTAATTTAGTTGATATAATATTATAGTCATGTTACAACTATGCAACTATCTGGGTGTTGATACATTATACTTATGTTTGGTGCCCTTATATTGTTTGCTACTGATTTAATGGAACCTTGTGTTAATAAAATAAGGTCTAATTGTTGACAAATAAACATTATTACACATATTACATTCACAAATAAGGAACCAATTATGCAATGTGTCTGTTTTCTGTGACAAGGTATATTTTGTAATAAATTTAAAATAATGATGTAATAAAATTCTAGAGTTTTCTACTCTAGAAAATATAAAATTTGTCTTGTTAGAAAACATAAGTATTCACATAATACTTAATCTAATCTAATCTTTCAGGCTTTCTTCCACATGATAGCTCTAGACGTAGCTGCAGGTGCTTGTACAATCAGCTTCTTCAATGTTAACAAAAAAACATTGTACTTTATGGCACCATATCTTTGCTGGCTCGCCTTTGCATCATGCCTTAACTACACAATATGGAAATTGAATGAGAATGTTCCTAAAATCCCCAATAAAGATAACTAGAGATAATGTCTAACATAAATAGACAGTTGCACAGATATTATTAAAAATATTTACTAAAATACCAACCAGTTATCAAAATTCCTAATAATAAAATAATTTTTGAAACACATTAATATATTGACTACTATTAAGAAACTATATTTACACATTGTTATTATATTTTTGTTGTAAGTGCAAATTATTTTAATAAAATATGTATTTACATTGACATTTGAGTTCATCTTCTATATCACCTGCGTCTTCTATTATCAAAAGTTATCTTTGCTATATTTAACTGCCTTATTGGTCTAGTGATATTTAGCAGTAACTTTTCCCGGTTTAAATTCTCGTAACATTAAAATATATTTAATTGACTTATTAAAAGGAGGGTATCAGTTTGACCTGTGAGTGTAATTATATAATATTTGAGCATATAAGGTTTAAATCACGTGTGGCAAATTTCGTGAGTTGTTGATGTCCACAAATTATTTCTGATTAAAATCATAATATATTGTATTCTGGAAGGGTCATGAATAGTATGAGGAAAAAAAGTTGTTTTTATTACATTTCTTTCATTGATGGAAAATTATATTGTTTATAGCCTCAGATGAACTCATACAGATAAAACGCAATTATCTGGATGCATCGACATCTGACCTAAAGATAGGGCTTTGAGAGTAATGCAACAGAGAGTGTACTAAGGACTATATGTCCTGAAGTAAGACTATTCTTGATAAAGACTGGCCACATAACCGAATCGGCATAGAAAACTTTAACTAAATTACAACACGAGAAAATTAAAAGAAAGTAATTTCGAAACACATTTATTAACAAATCATTTTCCTCGTTTCAACTTATTTAACTCTCCTTGTTGTATAGACGCGTCCTTATAGATCTGTTTTACCTTCTCTTTTCTTACATTGTCGCTGGAATAAGAAAACCCCGTAATTAAATATTTATATACGTACATATTATACAGTTAAGTATGCCTAAAAACTATATAGCATCTTGGTAAACTGGGCAAGGGCGCTTACCCTCAGAATCATAAAATATAATGTGAAGGAATTGTTGAAAAAAAAATATTTCTTTTATTATAACTTCATAAACTTAATCTATAATAGAATTATAGATTAAGTTTATGAAGCTATAATAGAAGTTTCAAAAGGCTTAACATATTTCTAACGTCTATTAAATTTATATATATATATATAAACCTACTTTATTGAAATATAGCGATTACCCACTTATAGCTCATCCTGGGTTCGATTCCAGCAACATATATTTTTCATGTTAGATGGCTGATTACTGCATAATAAGCTAGATCACAAAAACTATAAATACCTCTGTATCTTTTGCCGTATTTTCACAGACGCGATATAGGCCTTGTCTCTCCTTATTTCTCTTATAGCGCCCTTCATCTCCTTTTTATATTTGCCCTGTAGTCGCTTTCTTTCGGAGGCATCACGAGACAGTTTTGATAATTTACTGCCAGTAAAACTGAAAAATGTAAATTTAGATTTTAATAAGGAAATTATATGTCCGTATTATTTTTATGTAGTCTAAAGCTATAAAACATTACCTACATTATACCCCATATATCATTAATTCGTAAAGGATTAAAATCAAACAAACTGTAACATGCCTATCTCAAATTCACTTTAGGAAAACTTTTTAGTAGGCAAGTATTTTTTTATATTTAATTAATTTATATCACATGGATATTGAGTTATTAATTCTCTTAATTCCAAAATAGCGATATAAATAGATAGTATATTTTTCAAAAGGTTCTACGTGCATCAGTCATAATACTTACACTTCCTGGATATCCGGTTCATATAAGCGTAAAGCCTTCGGCCTAACTTTTTCTCTCGTTATTAACGCGTAAGTTTTCGTTTCTAGTGTTTCCTTCATATGTTGAAGAACTTTTGTCACTTTAGAAACAATCTTTTTCGGATACCATTCTAAATCTATCCGACCTAATAACTGCATGTGTGGCTCAAATAGCGCCTTTAAAGCGTCGATCTCTATATAATTATCGAAAAACTCCCTTAACATGAAAACTGAATTATGTAAACATTTTATTTTAAAGGCATCGTCCATTTCACACACTAAATCCTTGGCCGACATTTTGTCATCAACTTCCATTTTGGAACAATCTTGTTCTAAATTTAAAATTTTACTATCTTTATGTAACCGGAACGGCGGAACGACTTGCACTGGATTGAGAACCGACGTATTCGCGGACAAATAAAATATCCCCCTTAAAAAGTTTAATGCTGACGGAACGAAACGTTTCGATAGGACTGTATATTCTAGAATCATTGTCAGAATAAAAAGTCCCCTAGAAACAGAATATGCGTCTTTAAACCGAGATAAACTCAAAATTTCAGTCATGAAAATTAAAGATGGGGTTGTGACCGGATGGCGAAAATCGGAAGTGGGGTAAAGCAAGGAGACTAATTTAAAAAATATCAATGTATTTAAATCCGGCACTTTTTTAGGGTTACGTTTGAATTGATCGTGTTTTTCTTTGAGTAACTCTACTATAAATTTCTTAGTGGATACTTTATTAATGTGAATTAGGTCATAAAAATATGGTGCGACTTTATCAAAAATTAAGAATGCTTTGATAATGTCACCCTCATCGTTCAAATCCGTAAATATATCGTGAACATATTGTAATAGATGTGCGAATAATCTACTTAATATCTCTTTGTTGTTTGGCGATAAACTAGGGTCGTAACTTTTTATTAATTTAGATAACGCGGTTGACTGCTGAGAAGGCGTTTTACCCGTTAATAATTCCTGGAAAAGAAAAGAAATAACTTAAGAGATGTACACTTTTCTCACTGTTAATTAATCCTCATACTGTTGTGTTTTAAAATCTACTTCATACTTTCAAAATATACTCGTAATTATAAAATATTGAAGACTCGCTATTTCTTCATCCCAAAACATCAAAAAGTAAAAAATATACCCTCAATTTATCCCCTTCAGCAGACTTCACATCAAAGACAGAACCGAGTTCTTCTTCAACCACATCCATTTGTTCTTTCTCATCACTATTACTCCCCGTATCTTCTGAAGCTTCATTTTCATCATCACCACTCTCATCAGCATCACTCTCATCATCATCAATTTCATCTTCATCGTTTTTATCACTCTTTACATTTTCCTTCCTGATATTCTCATTATTCTCATTCATATGATTTTCAAGAATCTCATCACTACTCTCGCTTATTGTTTTAACTTTTTAGGTATTATTTCACTATACGATATTTTGCGTTTACGCTTATTTTCACTGGAACTTTCAAGTTTCTCATTCTCTTCACTGTTGGAGTTGCTTTTGTCGTCATCGCCATCACTTTCAAACACTTTTAGGTCACTCCCATTATTGCTATTTTCATCTATTTCTTTGCTTTCTTCAAATTTTTGTTCATCTTCGTCATTATCTTCGCTGTCAGCTTCACCATTTACTTCATTATCGCTGCCCGATTCGTCATTAATTTCATCACCTTCCTCTGAAGATGTGTCAGATACCCCATCATCAAATTTCTTTTTTGCATTAGGCACTGTAAAATTTGTTTTTATTATTATAACTTTTTTACTATATAAGTTTCGTTTGCAAACAGAAGCGACGTTGATAGGGTAAGAAGTGTTGTAAATATTGTTTTAATTAGTATACGATTAAATCTCTTAGGTACAGTATTCAAACATGTTGAATATTAGAGTAACACACTATTATCATACACACAGTTATTACTATCAGTCTTTATCTAATACATTTTTATATATTTCTTAACTAATACTTTGCTATACATTGTAAATAATAGTGTCAAAAATAATCACCATTATAATCTTTCAATATATGGTCGGGTAATAATGGTTTGCCATCCTTGTCATATGCTAGCATTATCTCTTTCTCGTCGTCAAAAGCAAAGTTGTCATCCAAGTCATCTGCAGACCTAAAAACGTTGATGTTATGAAATGTCTTTTTTAATTAAATAAATATATAAATATGTGCTACACACATGAAAATACTAACCTATGTTTAACTGTGGGTTTGGCGGTTTTAGGCATTTCTTCTTCTGGCATCATCCTCTGTTGTCTTTGTTTCTCCATCTCTTCTAACTTCTTCCTCTCTTCTTCTTGCTGCTTTTCTGTGCTTTTTAATGCATCTGATGGCTGTAACAACATTAAGTGCACAATGTTAGGTTAATATTATATTGCTATATATATACATTATTTCTTTCCAATCTAATATTATTATATGACAAAATCTTAATAAGATAAGAATATTTTTTTGAAGAAATTATGTTAATTTTTGTTATAAAATAGTAACTAATAAAACATTAAATAATAATAACTAATCTAAACAATTAAAAACTATTGTTTAGATTTTAGTTATCCAATTTTAAATTAAATTGTTGGCATACATTTTTTTGTACATGCCATATTTAGTCTATAAAAATCTGTTACTCACAGTCCCTCTCCTATCAAACTTAAGCTCTCTCATCATTTTATCATAATCCTGTCCTTTTTCAGCATCGGCCAAGAGCTTATCAATCAAGGATTCACTCTGCTTCTTAAACACAACTGGCTGTAAATCTTTCCATTCACTATCTAATTTCTCTGTCAAATCCAATGTTTGTTCTTTTTCTTTTTGTTTTTCAGCCTTGCGTTTTTTTGATTCGGCTATAAGTTGTTCTATTAAATCTTTATGTGATTTTGCCCCATCTTTTGATTCTGTTTTTGAGAGAATGCCACCACCAAAATGGCCTTCTGATACAAAATCATCTGAAAAAGTTATTTGTGTAATATTTTTTATCTTTAACAAATATATAATTTTACAAAATTAATTGGTATAAACCTAATAAAAATATGTCATGAGAAAATATTTACTTTGGTATACAAGGGTAACTAACCATCCAAACCACCAAAAGGCTTATCCTCATCTTCATCATCAGATCGTGGGTCATCAAACTTCTCAATTTGCTCTAATGTTTGTCCCCTATAACATAAATAAGTTACATATAATCATTTTACTATTTATATTAATTATAAATAAGTAGAAACCCTAGTTGGGCATACACCTGAAATGAAAACCTTTCTTTTGTCTGTTGTGTTTTCTTTACTAACCACAACCAAAACTAAATTTTTAAGCAGCAAATTATTTTCAAAATCTAAAGTAGCTGGAGCAAAAATAAAAGTAGTTATAAACATGAACATTTTACTGAAGCTAATAAATATGATAATATAAAGGCCGGAAATGCCAATGCTAAAGATTGTTCAGGTACAAATTATGTTCTTTTAAAACATATAACAAATATGAATTGGAATACCTGTGTGTAAGTATTTCATCATCAGCTAAGTTATAAATACTCTTTTTGTTGTGTTGCTTTGCTCTTTCTGCTGCAAATCTCGCAATCATGCGATCTTCGGCAGAGAGATTGTTACTTTTTTCACCAATACGACGGTCAATAAAAGTATTTGTCTTGTTTAACAATTTCATTTCTGTTCCAATTGTTTCTTTGCGCTATATAAATGTTGAATTTTGGTTAATCTTATGATTATGAACGAAGCCGGTATTTTTCATGGTTTTATATTGACTAATAATTTTTGTAGTGTTTAGATAACAAAAAATACCACAAGCAAAGTAACTCACCTTTTGGATAGCTTTAGCTCGTGAAACGCCTGGTAAACCACGATCATGTTTAGATTTCTTTCCTAAAACTTTAAGTTTTTCTTTATTTATATGTACTTCAAATGGATTTAACTTTTTTTTAACCCCTTCTGATTTCTTCCTATGAACCTTATCAGCTAAGCCAGCATTGCGTTTATTTTTAACTTTGGCCATTATTCACAAGAAAAAATGTATAACTAAAACAAACTAGAGTTAAAAGCTTGACTTAAAATGCTAAGTTTAAGGTTACAGAAGTTCGAAAATAAAATATCATTTGTAAACACATGGTTTTGACAACTAAACTTTGAATAACTTTTTGGCAATTGACAAAGGTCGAACAATCAATGCGTTCATAAATATATTTGGTATACGTTTATCAATAACATTTTTATTCATTTCATTTAGACTTTATTGAAAGATCCTTCCAAATTATATGCACTTTTTTCTACATTATTTAAATTTAATTTTTTTTTTACATTAACTTAATTTTTATCTACTACGTAGTTTGTGCTCCCAGTTATTTTGGTTTAAACAAAATGAATCGCATCTCTTTAGGAAAACCGAAAAATGCTTTCTACTGATTGGTTATTAAAATGCCGCCGACTTTTGACGGCTGCGCCTTTGAGTTTGCTTCATGTCGCGACGCTGCCGTGTAGCATCTAACGCGTAGGTATATTATTGTGTGGCTAGCGGCTACTTTTTGTCATATTGTGTGGCCGCCGGAATCTTAGGAAAATGGCAGACGTATCTGACGAAAACCTTCAAAAAGAAATTCTAAGTAAGTTGTTCTATTTTTTAAATACACAAGATTTTGTCTTCTTTTGCAAGGTTTTATCAACTTTCTAGCTGTTTAATGAGTCTTAGAATATAATTACTTTACCATGTAATGGCTTCCATTTTATGTTCAAAAGAAGTTAATATTTCATATGTGGGATTTTAAATATCTCTGTTATTATAAAATCAGAGCAAAAATGTTTCATGTGAAAGTTGTTTGGTTCAATTATGCGGATTTTTTGGTATGAAAAGGTTTATTTTACACTTCCTATTTAGGTCTCTCTACTGGTGGTTTATTTTTATGCAACGCGTAGATCATAATATCAGAAGCTCCACGTATAGTGCACATTAATGACAAAGACTTAATATAATTAAAGGTTATTTGCAGTTGCGCATGTCATTAATAAATAGTTTTTATCCGAAGCATTTCGATAGATTCGTATTTTTTTACACTGAAATTGTATGTTTAGCAATTTTGTTGTGGGCGCCATAATGTTGTAGTGTTAATCGGTGATTCTTGAGTCAGCTAAATTACCTGGATTTTTTATTTACTTAAGTTTTATTAACTTATTTCATGTTCATTCAACACATTTTTTTATAGAGATTCTTGAAAAGGCAAACTTAGCAAAAACTTCAACCAAGAAAGTGAGACAGAAGTTGGAGGAGGTATTTGATACTGACCTGACTGATAAGAAAGAGTTGATCGACCAATATGTTATGGACTATGTCAATAAAATGGAATCTGAGAATTCAGATAGTGCTGAAGAAGAATCTGATGTAAGTTGTTTGTAATGTATATTTCTACAGTAATAATAAAGTCAAAACAAACTTCTCAAGGCACACCTAAATCCAAGACTAGCAAGAAAACTAAGTAATATTTGCATAAATAAAATAGTTGAAAATTATATTATTACAGGAAAAGAAAAAGCCTGAACCCAAGAAAAGAAAGAAGAGGAAGGGATCAGATTCAGACAGTGATTGGGTGAAGAAAAAACCTAAAAAGGTACTTAATTTTATAAATGGTTTTTCAGTTGCTTGGTTCATTAATTAATGTATTAGGAAACATTGATAGTTGATACCTCACAAATATTTATTTACTTATTCACACTTCGTTACCTCATACAAAAATATTTCACTTTAATCAATTTAAAAAAATTAGTCAGACACCATTACTATACCAAAGTTTATATTATTATTTTTAAAATTATACTTATGTGTGTCAATAGATCAAACTGATGGAATATATTATAGGTTGGTTTCATAAATAAGAAACAAAGTATTGTTACTGATTGAAGTCACCCTGTAAGAAAATTAGACATGTTGCTCTTCTATTGCTATGCTAATTTACAAGCAATTATTATTTGCTTCGGATTATGTTAAAATTGCTTTAAATCATTAATTATACAGTATATCTGCCATAGTGTTTTTAGATACATACAGCCTAGTCTAGAAGTGGCTTATTGAGGCCCATAAATGTATAACTATGTATTTTTAGAGCCAAAAATTGTTTTTTTTTTTCTGGTATGCATATACAAGGGGTATATTGCTTAAACAAAAATGATTCATGTAATACAAGTAAAAATAATGTATTACTGATATTTAGTAATTTATGTACAGTCAAAAATGACACTCAATTTGGTGTTGGTGGTAGTGGCATTATTAGAATATGGCTTAACACAGGTGGGATTGTGGCCAAAATATGTTCAGTTTTATATAAAAAATATTTAATTTTATTTCAGCAGGCAGCAGCAGGGGCCGGACGTGGCAAAGGCAGCGGTTACACTCGGGCATACAAACTATCCCCAGCCTTAGCTGAATTAATGGGACAGGAAGAGATGCCACGACACGAAGTGGTGAAACGTGTTTGGACCATCATCAAAGAGAAAAACTTATATGACCAGTCTAACAAACAATATGCCATATGCGACGAGGCCCTCTACAAGGTTATAGGCACTAAGCGATTCCGAACGTTCGGTATGATGAAATATTTGAAAACTCATTTCTTAGATTAATTCACAATTAATTAAGTAGCTTCTATGAGCCGTGGCTAAGCCATCAAAGTATAAACGCTAGACTGTCTTTCGTTAACATTCTTGTGTGAGAAATAGTTACTTTTAATGTGACTTTCATCAGTTCTCTGTAATTTTTGATGGCAATCCAGCTATTCATGATGAGGTTTTGTCCCGCGCGATTTTAAGGTTGCGACACTAGAGCTACGAATACTGAAAGTATATCGATTGCTATTTACTATTAAAAGTTATAGGAGTCGCCGCGCTGGACATAAGACACCTAAGAAATTGCAGATTATTGGTCAAACATTAATGTATGTTTTACATGCAATTTACTAAATATCGTGTATAAGTTTTTGATCGACACTTAGGTATTAATAGAAGATTTTTATTATTATGTAATTTGTACTTTAGGTACCATCTATATAATTTGCATTCATCATAATATATCTAAGAATTACGTTTATACCACAAAACTTACAAAATAATTCATTTATCAAGAACCGATTTTTTTTTAATTGTAAAGATTACTTTTACTTTTGTTCCTATATTGTTCCTTTTATAATTTTATATCATAATTTTCTTACTAAAATAATATAAATTTATAGTTTTTTTTTTGCGAAATGTATGCGATCCCTCCCAAACAATCGGTGATGTATATCTAAGATGTATAAATTATCAGTTTAAATTGATAGTGTTCATAAAATTAAGAAAAATTAATGTATATTTGAAACTATTTTGTCTATCATAGAGATTTAACAACAATTAAAATTTTTGGCATAAAATCGAAGGGGTTACTATTAATTTAGATCATTTTAAATCATTATTAATTAATTTCTAATTATATCATATAAAATTTGACAAAGCAATAGTAGACCTTATATTTGAACATCAAAGGTTTATTATTGTGCAAACGCCCTTGTTTCATTTATCATAATGCCCGAGATTCAAGAGTACCAGTGGTATTTGGTACGAGACGTAAATTTTTTAGTTATGATGAGAAGCATTAATTGTCGAATTCGCGTTTCATAGAAAATCCTAGAAATGAGTGTTGAACCGAATATAGGCGTAAAATGTTTGTTCTAAATTCCTCATTAAAAGTCTTTTGAATTATTATAAAACGTGGATTAAGTTTGTGTTTGTTGCTGTGGTTTCGAAATTGCATATAAAGGAATGGAAAACTTAAAATAATTGCTAATATCTGTATTTGTAAATTTTATTGCTCTACGAAAGAACAATAAAATCTTATAAAAATAGTTTTCCGGTAAAAGATATAAGTTGTAATTGTAATATAAGTAAGTCAATATATTGCTGCATTTCTACATTCTGAACCATAATCAATTATTTAATATAATAGATATGATACATACAAGTTATTACCTATATATACCTTACTTCAATATAGAAATGCAGTGGTATGAAAATTAAAATGGAGGTTGTATTAATATCGCCGAGGGATGAATTATTCAATAAAATATTCTAAAACTAACATGGTTTGTTATTTAAAGTAGTTATTTATCTTACATAAGGTGTCATCTGATGTCTGTGGTTGCCAAGAGCGAGCGTTATGACAAATCCTGTGAAATGGTTCCCATGGCCACGGAATTATTTTCAAAATATAGTTTTTATGTAATTTTACAAATATGGCTTGTAACGAAAATGTTATAAAAAATATAGCCAATGAAATAGCACGTAATTGTCACGCACAAAATAACATATCTGTTGATACAGAATTTGTAATATACTTAATAGATCTTTTACTTCTTAACCCGAAGTATGGGAAACTGTTTTCGAAAACGATTCGCCGCAATAACTTGGAGTTTTTCGTATCGGAGTGCATTTCTTTACTTACAAGTAAGTATGACTGAAGAATTAACTATATACAGAGCATTTAATTAATAAAAGTAGTTGTTATAAAAGAAAGCAAATACACAAAAATTAATATTTGTAGTAGTTAACGGCACAGTTCATATGTTTCTCCACCTATGTAGCTCACTTAAATGAACCCTACTGAATATGAAGCATTTTATCATATAAATCATCAGAGATAACGCAGTGCCAACATTTCAAAAGTAAAAACTAGCATCGTAGTATTTATATATACCTAATTATTAGAAATGTATATGGTCCTGCAATATTTCAACCAAGTCTGAATGTTGAGATGATTACAGAATGCGAAACATCTATAAATACCCTAAAAATGCAGTTTACGATGCAAACAAACTATGACAAACTGCAGAGTTTGATTGATAAACATTTGGATTCAATTAACAATTGCCTACGACCTCTGGTAGCGGAGATTGTAGACGAGGATCCGGAAGATGACGCCGCGTTTAAGAAACTATTTAGAAAGATGTCGATTTATGTTATTCTTTCCAGTGGTCTTGGTAACCCAGGAAATATTGGGGTAAGAGTTTTAATAGAGATAATATTTTTAATACGATATGGCATACATGTTTGACATACCGTTTCGTAAACTTTTGTGACGTTACTATAATAATTGCGGAGAAAAAAGGTCTCATTGGATCACATTGAATGTTAATCTCTTCTCTGGATCTTACCCAAGATCTTGCCAGATACGTTCCACAGGACTATTTGAGCTATGGAATAGCGAAGGCACTATAATATTTCCCATGTCCCATTACTAGTTTCTGCGGTAAGCCGTTATACCCGATTCGGTCTTAAGAACTGGTTATGTACCTAACTAATTGAACATTGTATAATTTTAGACATTAAAAGAAGGCATGGCGGCATTAGAAAGCGTGTTTTCTCTCGATGATCTTAAGGTGTTCATCTCATTACCTAGGAGCGAGAAGTTGGTCCAGCTCAATGAGCTGATGCAAGTGGCATCAGGCGTGAGACTGTTTAATAGAGACTGCAAGAAAGGTGGCGAAGGCATTCCTGACTGTAAGTATGTTTTATTTTTTAATTTGTTAATGGGGATGTAAAAAAAGTCGTTAATTTTGTTTTGATATTATTTTATATGATTTCATCCATATCTTTTCACATTTTGAACAAATATTGAGAGCTTCCTATTTATTGCGTTACGCAAAATCGATTCCCAAAATTCAGCTTAATTAAAATTTAGTATCATACCATTTTATACAAACAACTGATTTGAATAATAATAATGCCTAATCTCCTACTTTTTGACTCTCTGCTCTTCAGACAAAATATATTTTTGTAAATTTTAAAACTTGCTGAAATATATGACCTTTTTATTTTCATCCATAAATTCAATGTTTCAGTGCCGTTCAATTTAGTTGACGCCGGTAAAGCATGTCTCTCCTCACTTTCCAACTCTTTAATCGCCGTCATGCAGCGAGTTAACACGCTCACCACAGCAATATCTGATACTATTTCGATTCAAGATGAGACTGGCAATGTCATCATAGATCTACCTCCAAACTCGCTTACCGAGTAAGTGTTAAATGTTTTTGCATCTTCTTTATATTAGTTCCACAAACTTTATAAATCTTACCCCAAAACACTTTTCTTACGTTATCAGTTACTTTTAGTGATACTGACTCTGTCAGTCATACTGTTTAGAATGCCTCAGTAAAACTACAGGAGTATTAGTTTGCAAGGTATATGACAGTTTATTACTCTTATTACATTGTGAAGTAATTATGAGTCATTTCTTTTAACGCTCAAACCTACCCATATACCTACTGTTTTTATATCAGCCTACTTCAATTAAGCGCCTTGAGATTTATAAGTGCAATTCTTATTTATTCCCGTGCAGGGCGGATTACAAGCAAATATTCGAACTGCTATCTTTCAACCGGCAATATGAGGTATACATCCGTAAACTTTTAAACGATGTGGAGACCCTCGTTGAAGGTGGTTCGCAGCAGGTTGAACGGTTCCGGGTCGCATTGGAGGAACTACACTCTGCTGTCAAGTATAAAGCTGCTGTGCCCATTGTTACCGTATTTGTAAGTATTAAACAATTTAGGGATGGTTTCTAAGAAGTTTTTGCCCACTCAAGCCTATATTAAAGGGCCCTCGGGGCTCGCTTTAGGCGTTCTACCTCAGAGGGCCAAGTCTACAATGGACAAGATCATTGCCGCTTGACCTTTTGGCTTAGAAATGGTTCTAAATATTACTTTGTGAAACTGAAGTATTTTTTGATCTGTCATACCTACTAACTACGCGCTACCAACTCAGCCAGGGAGGCTCAATCTAGACGTATTTAAAGATTGAATTATTTATACATTCACTCCATTTTTCCAATGGTAGGCAGAGATATACAACAAGGTCTACCAAACTAGATTTCATCACCCACGGTTGCCTTGTATATCCTATTCGTAAGCCGCTGCTTATTCATTATTTCTAGGTGGCCAACCCACGTAAGTTTTCCCTTTCGTATCCAAGTCACTACATACTCTTTTAAGCCACACTGCTCACGTATTTCACTACTACTTATCCTATCACGCAATCACTGATTGATTATTCTAAATTAATTTTTAAAATTTCCTAAGAACAAAAAACCTTCCAGCCGCTATTCTCGAAGGTATGGCAAGTTTGGCGATGTATGCAGAACATTATGTACTTGGTGGCGACTGTCAATCGGCTAATGGGTGCTCTGGCAGTTATACAAGGTAAAGTAGTTTAATTCACAAGCGCTTAATGCATTTAATAAATCAACTATTCAGCTGCTGCGTGATCGTACACCATAACAGGGTGTTAAAATTAATATTATGTGGCGAATTAATCGAAATTATGCTGAGTAGGAATGGCCTAGTGGCTTCAGTGTAACTCTTAATTCTGAGCACTTGCGTTAGAACCACGGCTTTGCATCAATGCACGTTTCATTCTATGTGCGCATTTAACAGTCGCTCGTACGGTAAGCAAAACATCGTGAGGAAACCGGTATGCCTTAAATCTACAGATGGACCAAAAATATTAAGAAAATGTAGAAAAGCGAAATCTTAAACCAAGGGTCACGCTTCACTAGTTTGGTACTAATTTTGCTGCTTGGCTGAGACTGCTTTAGTACAAATAAAATAATTCGGTTCCAATAAATAGATAACATATAATTCTCAGACCAAATGAAGCTTCCATACCCCATACTCCAAAATATGCTCCGAGGGAGAAGTGTTGTCACAGACCAAGATAGAGCTAGCCGGCTTAGTGTAGAAGAAAGGCTGTCTTTGGGTTCTATAAAAAACTATGTGGCTTATTCTGATAGTATGTCCTCCATCAAGGATAAACATATACAGGTAAGAATTTATTTCTTTACATAAGCACTAATTAATTTAAAAATTGTCTTGTAAAATAGTCTACAAGAATCAAATAAAACATTTTTCAAGAATTCATTTATCGTTCAAGTGTTTACTTACCACTGCTGCTGTCGTATTGTAAAAATATTAAAATAACATGAACACGATGAGTACAAGTAGCGGCACGAAACTCTAGCGCTGTCCGTTATTGCGAAAGTAAAAGTTTCGAGCTCCCCCCCCCCCCCCCCCCCCCCCCCAACACCCCCCCCCCCCCCCCCCCCCCCCCCCTTCCCGCCCCCCCCAACCTTCCCCGCCGCTGCCTATAGGATCGGGTTTCTTTAGTAAAATTTAAGCATGTGTTATAAAGTCAAATATGATATTAAGTAGGTACCTATAGAAAAAATAGAAGAATTGTCTAGTCCCAATAAAAACATTCTATAACAAGACACCTTTAAAATAACTGTATGTCTTTAACTAAATTAGAAAGGTTAATATTACTTTTAGAATATTATACGTAAATCAATATTTACATTTTCATTGTTATTATAGTTTTTAGGTTTCTGCGCTGTATGCCTAAGTGTTGGCGCTTTGGTTCCCAGTAATATGAAGTTGGGACTTATTAGATGTGAAGGAGGGCGTTACGGGTTTTGCACGGTCAAAATGGCTGCCAGATTCAGTAGGGATCCACGCAGGTGACAAACGATTTAAAACAGTACTACATAATATTACTATTTGTCTAAGTTTAATTAGAATAATCTTCAGCAATCTATATAATACGTTCTAAACGTTCTAATACGTTAAATTGTAAGCAGTACGTTGAGTTCACAATCTTTCGACAGTTCACAATCTCGCGAGATAGATTACATAACAATCTAACGGTGTTTATAATTTTACGGTGACATACAAATCACTGCGATGACGTCATAGCCTGAAACGCATTAACGAAGTTATTCCGGCCGCTTAGCGTATATTATAGAACTTCTCGAGTTGAGCCACTGGAGCGGCCAGTCAGTGGTTAGACTGATCGAGGTTCCTACCTTTAGGTTGGAGGAACAGTACAGTAGCCGTTCAAGTATTACGTAAGCGCTATAGGGGAAGGGTGTTTTTTATTTTCTTATTTGGTGATTACGTCAACAGTAATTATTTACTTTTGTACACATATTACCTACACATTGTCTATGCTTGAAAACGAAATGCATTTGCGAAGATTCCTACAAAAAATTAATGTACTAATATTTTTGAGAGATTTGTTTACTTTTGCTGACAGTGAAAATGGGGGGTTGATTGCAGTAAATCTGCTTACGTATTACTTAGGTCTCGCTCGAAACTTCCTCCACATGTCTTTACGGCATGATACGTTTTTTAAAGGAGATTTTTGGCATTTGGAGGTTTTGAATTGTATCTTTTGAGTAAACGCGTACTATAATTCGCCAACAGATATATAAACGAAGTATTGGAATATGCCCGTAATAACCCTCACCTTATAAACTTGCTGAGTATTGCACCCGCTGTTCATAAAGTGAGAGATGTCGATCGACTAGTTACCAGAGTGGAACCTAAAAGTAAGTTTTATGCCCTAGTCCTAGATCGTAAATTTAATGGCTCTACAGCAATGGATTATTCTAGATTTTCAGCAATAGGTGAAGTTCACATCGTGATTCGTGAAGGTAAGCATTGTAAAGAAACGGCAGGTAAAAGAGTAGCATAGTCTCGACTCTAAATTTTATCCTAAGACCCAAAAATCGACAACGAGTGTCAGGCACAGAAGGCTGTTCACTTAATTATAAAAAACGATAGAGGAAACTTACAAAAAACAAGATACGGGCTTAAGTTTTTGGTAAAATTATTGGTTATTTTTTTTAATTTAAGCTACTTAATAAAATTTATAATATTTTATTTTATTTCACGTAATATATTACAGCGAAAGTGTCAGACAAGGATATACAGACAGAGACCCACCCTGTAGACAGTTACATCGAAAAGAACTATACTTGGGACCTCTGGGAATGGAAGCGACGAGCCTGTCAATGGGTGAGAAATGTGTTTGTACTTTATGAAATAAAATTAGGCTGTATTATTAATATACCTATATAATAATTAATGCATACGTTTAATCTAATTATTTTTATGTTGATTTCATTTTATTTCAGGCTAACATAGTAAAATGTCAAACACATTCAACTCAAACAAACTATAGTCACATGAGATCTGAAATCCACTGTCAGACAGTGGAACCACGACATAAGTGCCTTCAAACAAAACAAGATTGTGGGGTCAATACGAATCCCAATGAGGTCTTTCTATGGGGTTTACGGGGTCAGTTGGGGTATGGTCAGCATCCAATGCAATTGAAGGAAACTGATTCAGAGAAGAAAAAAGGTAATGGTCCTTAAATTTTTTACCTTAGCCATATTAATGATCCTAATTTGAACAAAGCAGCAACTCAATTTATAAATAGTTCACTAAGCAGTGTTGGCCTTGGCCTAATATTGTATGCGTGCGAGCCTCATCCCAGGTCGTGCATTCGAATCACGGCTGTGCACCAATGGCACTGCCTCACCCTTGTTTCAAACCCAAATATCGGAGACATGTCAGACACAAAACTGACCTATAAAATCCTGGCGCTAAGTTAATAATAAGTAATAACAAAATAAGTGAAATATATAAGGGGCCGTTCAAGTATTACGTAAGGACTATAGGGGGGGATCTTTGATTTTCTTATTTGGTGATTACGTCAACAGTAATTATTTCCTTTTTTCCTATTATTGAGAGCTGACAAGAGGAAGGGGGGGGGGGGGTGTGTGTGTAATATCACTTACGACAAAATATACGAAATTGGATAATTTATGGAATTTCTGAATATACTATTACCATACTTCATAAGTAATAAAACCTAGTAAAACTCCTCGTCTCTAAATAATTTTAAATTTTAGCTCAAGTAATCAATGTATGTACCTGGCCTTGCAATCTCGGAGACGACAACACCAACTGACAATAGTTTTTATAATGATTTTATTTTAATAAATTGTATAAGTTTTATTAACGTGATGTTGTTTTGTTTTTACAATAAGTCCACCTGGGGTTAGATGCGGCCTTTTCGAGAGCACGTCTCTCCCAGAGGCTGCCAAAGAAAGATTGAAGGAGGCAAGGAGTAATAATAGGCAATACATAATAAAAAACATGATTAGATTTATAAATTTATTAACAAAAATTATAATTTCAATTCAATCATAATAGTTCTATACTACACTACAGACTTATACTAGCGCTAAAGACGTAATTAGTTTTGATTCTAAGAAAAAAATGGACGACCCAATAATACTAAAGAATAATAAGGGCAGCAGACTGGCGACCACTATAATTTAGAGACAAGTTCAAGTGTGAACTGCGCCGGTACTCTGTAACTTGCAATAGCGATAGCGGTGTTTTTGTAGCGGAATTTTGATGTAGTACTTCTCAATATCCGTAGTGCTGTCGTCGCAACCGTTTGTTTGTGTAATACAAAACTCAAGAATCAATTGATGGTGGCAATCGCTACAGAATGTTACAAAAATGACAAAATTATTCACTTGTCTCTAAATCTAAGTTTCGTTTTAGCAAGAAAGGTTTTTAACGTTATGGGTATTAGTAAGGTAGTTGCGTGTCTTATCTAATAACTAGAGTTTTATAATTGTTAGCTTTTATACCGCGTCTCGAATATATTGTTTTCTAAATTTAGTAACGAGACAAGAAATTATGAAGATTAAGTGTTTTATTCCTTGATTAATGGCGATCTTTCAGATTCAGTTTAATTTACTTTAAAACATTTAAACCTTTGAACTAAGTAACCCAAGTTTCAGTCGCCAATCTGTATCTCCCTTACAATAATTTTAATAAGTTTTACGAAATAGAATAAACATATTGCGACAAATCCTATTCAATCTAAAATGTGTATCACAATACTATAAAACTTCTCTACAAGGAAATCAGTTCATGATTGTTAAACCTATTTTAATAGAAAATCCTCATTAGATTGCTACGGATCGTTCTAAGCTGGTGTATTTGTTCAACGACACTATACACAAATATTTTAGAAACTGACGTGATTAGATCATTAAGTCGATTTGTATGTTAATTTCATTACAGAAATAACAAAGAGTCTTTTGTATCATTTATACATGCATTTTTTTACCGCACATACCCGAGTTTTTATAACAGTCTTATGAAAAACAACAATTCGATGTCTTCAGATGTTTATACACAATACGATGTTCATTTAAAGTCGACTTATTAACTTATCCACGCCGGTACGGATATATTCAAGATCTATGCGACCGTGAATACCTAGTAATAAGTAAACTGTTCATAGTACGTTAGAATCTAAACGAAATAACAAAAAGAATCATGAAGTCCTTTAGGATACCAACAGGTAAATTTAAACTTATCAATATGTTACTGATGAATGATGTGCGAAATTTTTAAATGTTGCAATATGGCAAAAACCTAATTCGGTGGAGGCTATTGCGGTGGTTCTATTGTCATGTATATGGCAAACCTAACCTATCTCGATGATAATACCTCAATTTAGCTTGATCAGACAATGGAAGCTCGCTTATTAAGTATGGAAAATCTCCAATCACGTAAGATGAAATGTTTCCTAAGAAAACTAATCTACGTTAGTAAAAATAAGAAAAAAATCTATATTAATTTTTATTTATATAAAATGCACATTAGATATTTTGTACATGATTGCTATCAGCTTTGGGTTTGGGTTTGTTATGTTGAAAATTAAATATTGCCGCTTCTATATTAACTATCGTGTTCCTCCAAATGGCGGCAACAAATAATTTTGAACCTTATCCTATAGTGCGTTGGGAATCAATTTTAATAATAACTAAAATTGATTCTCAATCAATGGTCGATCAATAAAACTTACGTAGAACGTCGAAATCTAAAACTTTGTACCATAGTGGTACCAAAGACCTGTCTATACAAAAATTGATGAAGAACAAACAAAAATTTGGTAGTATAGTTGTTTGTGGTACGTGTGCTGTTAACATAATAAAATTGAGACAAGATTGTGACAAAAGTAAGAGCTTGGATAAGGATCGGATCTTATTTAATTTCTCCCAAAAACCTTTATCCATTTCGAAGTACAATCTTTGATTAAAAGAAATATAATAAGGTAGGCCATAAACTTTGCACATAAATCTTAGTTGCTAGGCAATACATACCAATAGCAGCAACAAGCTTCGTAGCAGCCAAATGTATAATAAATGACAGGTGGGATTATAATGGGAAATAATTTGAGATATTATAAAAAAATAATTTTACAGACACAAATTAGTTCAACATACATGTGACTGCTACTTATTACATAAAGACGGCACACGACACACAATATTTGAAACACACAAATTGCATTTTTTTAATACAAACAATTTTAACGGATTTCACCACAACCACATCATTACTAAATACAATGCCCGGGTTGCAATAAAGAATATAACGTAAGGTTAAGAATGTACAGATAAACCAAAGGAGTTGCTAGTTTGTGAACCGACATTTCTGGTTTACTTTTTCTTTGAGTGTAATGTAAATGCATTTTGGAAATAACCCGGACATAAGACTATTATTACAAAGCCTTCATATGTAGGACATGGGACACTTTAGACATATAAAAAATATTGAAAGTATATTTCGAGAATCAAACCCGTCAAAATGTAATCAATTCGATTTATAACCGATTTACCAAAGTCCATATTATTCTAATATTAAAGGCAAATTTTTTATCATTAATCATTAAACAATCTCCTTTTAACCTGCGCAGGCGATAGTTGTTACCTGAATTAAAGAAATTTTCATTAATTAATCATTATTATACTTAGCGATAAATCTCTTCACTCATACCCTTAATATGTGGAAATAAACTCAAAATTTATTATTTTATAGATTATCAATATGAAACATTTTTATTGAGTTTTTAACTTACATAATAGCACATCGTTTGTCCCTGTGCGCTTGTGCAGGCGCAGGCGCAGCCGGGAGCGAAGTGGAGTGTTTGAGGGACTCAGGATCGAAAGTCTCGGCCGCTATCACCGGCGCTGACAGTGGCAGATCCGTGTTTATACCAACTATCTGAAATCCGATTAAAGCCCAAAAAATAGTACTTTTCCCACAAAGTATTTCACATTCAAGTTATAAAACTTGATGATAACAATCCCAAGTAATTAAGAATTTAACAATGTCACAGATTCACAGGACCCGATCACACGTTATTTCTGTTAATGAAATATAATCTTGTTCTTAAACATTTTAAGGTTAAGCAACCCAAGTGTTCTTCAAGAACTCGGTTTCTTTGTACCTAGGGGATATGTGCAACTGCTATGGCCAAGGTTGTTTGCGATACCAAGGACCAGAACCAGTCTGTTGCACCCGTTTTCTCCCAGTTAACAAAGAAGTTGCGCCTATTGAATTCTGTCTCCGACAAAAATAATAGAACAATAAACATATTAATAGTGTAAATAATCTCCAAAAATTGCGTGACGTAATACTTGAACGCTCCCTTACCAAAAACCCTGTATATATGAAAATTGACATACCTCTGCGGTACTCTCAACGCAAAGCCTTTCTGAAGCGGACGTCGTAAAGCGGAAAGGTCTAGTGAACCCTCCCAAACGTTCCAGAATTCTGGCACGTTTGCCCCTAGCCTCGTGGGCCTCTTGCGCTTCTTCCGCATCCGGCTTCCTCTTACGACCTACCACAGTACCTGTGGGACGAGTTTCTGAAACTAAATAAAATAAATTCGCGTTTCTTTATTATTTATATTACCAATATTATATTTTTTTATTATATTATTATTATGTAAATCTATTGCATAGATTTTATCGCGGGCTTTGAGCGCGGCGACCGAATCAAGAAATTCCGTAACGAAATAACCCTAACACACGATGACGTAATATAGGTGCAGCCAATACGCATTAGAGCGGGACAGAACGCATACTGCGTCTCACATCGGTTTAGCGTGATCGGATAGGCGTGTTAGTCTGAGTGGTAGATTGAATTAATATCAAAGAAAAAAAAATACTGCAAAAAATAAATAAATAATTATATTGCATAAAAAATGCTATGCAATAGCTTTACCGCGGCAGTCCCCGAGTGCCACACGTATTTTTTTGCTGTATATTCTTATTCAGCTTTGTATATTCAAATAAAGCTAGACTAGATTATCTATATTACCATAGAATAACTAAATATTTATTAATGACGATTATTTGTTTTAATTTTTTATTAAGTTTTCCTGATGATCTCAGGGCGTTTACCTGAAGCACTACTAGTAGACCGGATGCTGGTATTAACTCCTATGTTCCTCAGAGTCATCTCCTTGAGTGGTTTGTATGACCTCCTCCCGCGAATGTTGCGTAGACCACTCAAGTACGGACTCTCAGATGTCGAGGGCTCCTCAATCATTAGAGACGGCTCTGTTATGTCCATTTCCATCGTTGTGTTGTTACCTGAAGATATTTTTATATTTATAGTTGCATTTAATCGCAAACGGTGCAAAATTGTAAACTACAGGAAATATTGAATACTTAAGTCCGATTTTGACAAATTGAGGTTACAAATCTTGGCAAATTTTTAAGTACAATATGCAAATCATAGTATTTCAACTGAAATAAAAACAAGACTTGTACAGAAGATAATGTTATTATTTGATGAAACTTTGTAATATGTTTAGGTTTGAATGATAAAAAGTACAATTGAATCCTGCAGCTTTTTCAATAGTACACCAAATTCTTCAAAGCTTGTAAGTTACTGCTGAACCAAGTCTAAACTTTAAAAGGCTTTATTTACGCTTTTTTCATAAAATATAAGTGCAATTACACTGTTTTATTAAACTTATTTATTTAAGTTAGATTATTCGTACACTTCCTCACCAGTATAGTTGGCGAGCAGCGAAGTCTGCGTGACGTCAGCGGGAGTGGTGAGACGCATGCTACGGCGATAGGGCGACACCTTGACGCGCGACTTGGAGTAATTCGTGTCCGGCTTGCGCGCGCTCTCTGCGCACACACATTGTCACACTACACACATCGTTACGCTGCTCTTCTACGTGTATTACACACACTCGCACAAATACTGACGCAAAACAATTCACACACATACTTAAAACTACCTTCATCTTTACGTTTTACCTGTGTCCATCGATTAAAATTACATTAGAGCTATAGCACTAAAGACCTCATTTTATACACAGATATCTTCTTTACAAGCAAAAGGCTATTGAAATCTACTGATGTTATAGCAGCGAAAATAGTATTTGTCAACATTTGTGGGTAGGACCACCATAGCCATAGTTATGCTTAGATATCTTGGATTCAATTCCCGGCATAACAATAGTTACTATACGAGAGTATAGAAAGCTTATTACGTCATATCATAAAATAAGTAAATTAATAAAAAAATATCGTATGCCTGAGAAAAATAAACGAAGGCAGTGTTAGAACTTCAATCAAGGACAAAAAATATTTATTTTTCATACAACCAACAAACGGACATGAGGCTAAATAAATAATACTAACCCTCACTTTCCACCTCGATAGAGATTTCAATTTTTTCATCAATCTTATTGTCATTCTTGTCATCCTTGTCGCACACACTGTCATTTTTGTCTTGTTTAGGTTCTGCCTTCTCTGTTTTGTCTTGTCTTTTTGGAGAATCCGACGAACGCAGTTTACGATCAGAGACGTCATCTTTGAGTTTTAGCAATTTCGTCTCCTTTGACTAAAAACCACAAAATGCATATACAGTACACTGCTATTGGTTTAATAAAGAATTAGAACTATTCTAGAACGTCACTCAAACTTGAATTAGCTTTCAAGAGCAGTTAAATGACTTTTTCTATTTAAACTTCGACATATTTGACGGTGCACAAGTGGAGATTGTGACTTGAGATACCTTTTGGAATACGGGCCTAAGTTTGATACTTCGATTACAAATGCTACTCACGTCTTCAGGCACGTAATCCTTGTCCCCTTGTTTCACGGACGCGGGGCGCGGCGTTTCAGGCGTACGACTTGTTTTCACCTTCACCCAAGACATATGTTAGTGCAAATCACATGTGAAATGGTGGTTAGTTACAAACACACATACAACAAAACCTTTTTTTTATTTATACACTTTACTATCACATTTTAAAATATGCCAAATTTGATATTAAAAATGGTAATAAAATGTGATTGGTATAAGATTTAGTATTTATTTATCGTATTTTTTTGCAATAATATTGTATATACAATCAAGAAACATTAAAGGGAGTCAACGGGCGGCTTTATCGCTAATAAGTGATCTCTTTCCGGAAACTAAATTATAAGATTGATCCTTCCAATAAAAAATAAAACAAATTATCTATAAATGATAATTTTTTCCCATATGTGTACCAAGACTTTAACATTTTTTTAGATTTGGTTTTGCAATCTTACCAATTCATATGATGACGTTACTTATATGAAATAAAAAAAAACAAAAACCCCCCCCCGCCCCCCCCCGCCCCCCACAAAAAAAAAAAACCCCAAAACCCCAACCCCCCCACCACTCTTTGAAAAAACCCCACTTTGCACGCGGAAAAAACCGAAACACGCGGCCCGCCTATGGCCCGCTTTAATTATCTTTTTATAAAAAGAATTATAGATATAGGGTTTCTTTATCGACGTTATTAGGTATCTTTGAAAAGTAGTAAGTGGGTTATATATTATATCATACACTATTTAAGTTACGTGGTACATGCTGGTGGGCAAAAAAATAATTCATATTAATGACTCAACCTGTGATCTGCGGGTATAGCTTCGACTGGGTCCCTCAGGAGTCGGAGGTTCGAAGCACTCAATATCAGAGTCCTCATATGCCAGTTCTGGGAACATCTGGTCATCTTCTTCCTCGGAACTAACACCATCAACCGGTTCCCCGTTAACTCGTGCACCGTTCTGTTTAGCTTTGGAATCCTTCTTTTTGTCTGGGGTCTCCGCCTGAAAGATATAAAGAAGAATTTATAAAACTTTACCATTGGTAATCTCTTATAATTGGAATTAACTAGCGATTACTAAATTTTATTAATATGGATAAATGGAAGATTTTAAAAGAAGAATTTATAAAACTTTACCATTGGTAATCACTTATAGTTGGAATTAACTAGCAATTACTAAATTTTATTAAAATGGATCAAGAAAAGATTTTAAAAGAAGAATTTATAAAACTTTACCATTGGTAATCACTTATAGTTGGAATTAACAAGCAATTACTAAATTTTATTAAAATGGATCAAGAAAAGATTTTAAAAGAAGAATTTATAAACTTTACCATTGGTAATCCTTATAGTTGGAATTAACTAGCAATTACTAAATTTTATTAAAATGGATCAAGAAAAGATTTTAAAAGAAGAATTTATAAACTTTACCATTGGTATCACTTATAGTTGGAATTAACGAGCAATTACTAATTTTATTAAATGGTCAAGAAAAGATTTTAAAAGAAGAATTTATAAAACTTCAATTGGTAATCTCTTATAGTTGGAATTAACTAGCAATTACTAAATTTTATTAAAATGGATCAAGAAAAGATTTTAAAAGAAGAATTTATAAAACTTTACCATTGGTAATCTCTTATAGTTGGAATTAACAAGCAATTACTAAATTTTATTAAAATGGATCAAGAAAAGATTTTAAAAGAAGAATTTATAAACTTTCCATTGGTAATCTCTTATAGTTGGAAATAACTAGCAATTACTAAATTTTATTAAAATGGATCAAGAAAAGATTTTAAAAGAAGAATTTATAAAACTTTACCATTGGTATCTCTTATAGTTGGAATTAACTAGCAATTACTAAATTTTATTAAAATGGATCAAGAAAAGATTTTAAAAGAAGAATTTATAAACTTTACCATTGGTAATCACTTATAGTTGGAATTAACTAGCAATTCTAAATTTTATTAAAATGGATCAAGAAAAGATTTTAAAAGAAGAATTTATAAAACTTTACCATTGGTAATCTCTTATAGTTGGAATTAACTAGCAATTACTAAATTTTATTAAAATGGATCAAGAAAAGATTTTAAAAGAAGAATTTATAAAACTTTACCATTGGTAATCTCTTATAGTTGGAATTAACTAGCAATTACTAAATTTTATTAAAATGGATAAATGCAAGATAAGGTATAGTTAAAAGAAAGTGTAATTTAACTAATGTAATGCAAAATGGAAGTATAGAAATAGTATATAGCCCACCTTTCCATTCTCTTTAGCATCTTCTTTCGTTTTCTCAACCTGAGCCACCGGGGCTTCTTTCTTTTCAACAGGCTCCTTCTTGTCAGTTTTTTCTACTGATTCCTCTTTCTTCTCTACTTTATCCGCCTTCTTTTCTGCAACTTTCTCGGTACTTTTCTCAGTAGGTTTATCCTTTTTGTCTACAGGTTTCTCTGTAGGTTTTTCTTTCTTCTCTACAATTTTATCTGTAGATTTATCTTTTGCGTCTGCTTTGTCCACTATTTTGTCTACACTTTTATCCTTTTGCTAACTTTCTCTTTGTCACTTTGGCTGGATTTCTCTGCTGCTTTCGTATTCTTTTCTGCGCTTTTTTCAGCTGCCAGTTTTTCTTTTTCAGCATTAACAGCCATTTTCTTTTTCATATCTTTTACAGGACTATCTGCGTGCTTCTGAAATGAAACAATGTTTATTATTTGTGTTGAAAATTTTTCATTTTATATTATTTCTTTTACATAGCATATTCATCTTCAGCATTTAAAGATATATTTTATTAGTTTTTTTGAGAAAATGTGATTATGTATGGTGATAAATGTTTCATCAATAATTAGAACAATAAGAAGAAATATCATAATAAGACTATATTGTGAATAGATGCAGTTAGAAGATACTCTCAGATAATAACGTAATCAAATTAGGTTTCTCTTATCTTTGTACAATTAAAGGCATCTAGTCCACGTAAGACAGGACAATTGAAAACGTTTAAACCTTCGTTTAAAAGGTAAATATTGTATGAAACTAAAATAACATTTACCTTACTATCGTCCCCTATGGGCCCTTTCCGCGTTACAATATTACTCATGGTTTACCTGTAAAAGAACAAAAACCATTTATAAATGAAGAAGTTTTCGAATGATTTTTTTTTTAATATCGTGAGTTTTGTTCTTTTTTTCACCTAAAAATTTACATTGTTTTTAGTTTATTATTATTTATTTAAACAAAATAGTCTTCTACGTATTGATTACAAAATAGTAGGGGGTTTATAGATATGAATATTAATGAGATTTCGATAGTAGATTAGAATTATTCGTGATTATGAGATATGCGTAAAGATAACTTGAATCATGATTTATCGAGATTTCGTTATCATGGGATTGTAAAACTATTAACAAAGAAAATTTAGTATTGCGTAGCTAAAAAAAATAAAGTAACTAGAACTATGCCCTGCCCAACACCACAACATGTAAGAAAAAAATTAAATAGTTCAAGTGTTTTCCCGACTCCCGGCCTTCTACGATAATAAAATAATACCTTTCTACACGAACTACCAATGTCTAACCAGATTATTTGTTCACAAATTGAAACCGCAGCTGCTATTAAAACAACGGCCTACTTGAATTACAATTCGAGCATCCTGTTTTGTCAGATGAACATATTTTTTATATAAATTTAATTTAAAGCTTCTGTATACACATATACATAAAGAACATGCTACAAATCCCTTTTAAAAGCTTTAAAAGCTATTACTAAATTTACAATACTGAATTCTTTCGAGCCAATGTTAGATTTAATAAGATCCTATATCTAAATTTTGGCGCTTTTAGGTCTGTTTTTACGTTTTAGGTCTGGGCCTCAGATTTCTATATCTGTTTTGTGATCATTTGTTTTTCTAAATAGCAATTAGGTCATCAGTCTTATATGCCTAAAACACGCTGTTTAAGGCATGACGGCTTCCTTCACCGTACGAAGTAGTGTTAAATGCGCTTATAGACAGAAAGTTTAGATTTTGAGTAGAGAATTTTCTAACTATTAGTAATTAACTCATTTCAATTAATTTAAAATACAGTGACATACAAATTTCCCTACACTTGGTGCCGGGGCTAACCTAAACACCGCAGAATATAAAAAAAAGCAGTTATTATTTCATAGTTTACCAGAATTGATTTTTTAATCAATTAGCCTACAGTTTAGGTGGAATTTAAAAGACAAATAAGGTAATCGTAATCGTATATCTACTTTATAAAATATAACCTATAACCCAAAACCTCCCAACTCGCAATATTACCTACCGAGCCCAGGAAACCAGTGTTTATTAAATAATCAAAAACCAGTCTCCATAGATTTCACCTTGATATTGAAATGTAAAAAACGCTCTACCAATCTTAGCAAAGTAATGACGCGGGTTCAACGAACTAACTTACGCACACTTAAACAAATAGCTTGTGGTGCAGGTAACAAGATACTTTTCATGTCAAAATTTTTAAAAGTTTTCATATACATATTCACATGCATTCTTCGTATATTCGATGATTTAACGATAATTGTAACTTATAGGTAATAAAAATATAATACTTAACTAACCCTTAGTATTATGATAAATATTATAATCAATTTCCTATAATAATAATAATTTACTTATTGCAAGAATATGGTATAAAAATGTGTAAGGCGGTACAATCGTAAGTTCGCATATTCTGCCACAGCCCACACACAATGGCGCGCAAATTTGTGTTTAAAGGAATCTTAAATTTTACATTATTAGTCATATGAATTGGTCAGTTCTTATATTATTTGTATCGCACATATCATATCATACGATATTAAATTTATATCAACTACAGTGTCCCACGCGCGTTATTTGTAAAAACTAAATTCATTGTAGTACACTCATTGTTCTTGTTACTTTATTCTTCTTTTTACAAAAATACTAAAGTACCTACTAGTTGAAACAGTCATTAAGTTTTTATAAATACAGAGGTTAGTCATACGACCTAAAACTACGCCATTACCACTAACCAAAAGTTGTATTAGTTTTATTATTTCCCTATTGTATTAAAGTTTTAACCTACATAATATGTGCAAGTATTATTACGAACATAATAGCACGCAAAATCGCAGTGAGCCTTTATTTGTACCATATGGGTTCCACTCACGCGGTACTTAGGCCAAGAAGGGCTGAACCTATTAGTTTTATGAGTAGATGAACGCACCAAGTGTTAATTTAGAATTTAGATACTTATTGAGGATACTAAAGAGTATTGCCGCCATTTTGTTTCGTTTCTGCCTTATATATTACGATAATGTTTTAAAACAATGCATAAAATTAAAGAAACACTAGTTAATAACGAAATTTATCGGTTATCAAAATTTGTTTTTTACACTAAATACTAATTACATAGTTACAAAGGCATAAAAAATGTTTAGAGATTTCTTTCCACATATGTTATTCAGAAAAACAATGGCTGTTCTATTCCTGGCGAGACGTTTATTTTTGACAAACATTAGAAATGTAGTCTAGTTTAGTGGCTTTTTGATAGACACCGTTTAGAACGGCCTCTTACTTTGCCGCTTTTTGCTCTATGTCTCAAATTTAAAACATTTTATACCTTAATCAAAGACGTCATTTGGTATTCCCCTGTTGCTCTTGCTCTGATAAATAAACTCATTTATATAATACGGTGCCACATACTAAATGATCTCAGGTTATGCGAACAAGACTTTGGCGGTGGATTATTTCTTCATATTCTTATCAACAGGTGTGGTCTGACCGAAAATCTTATCGTTTACAAACATTGCATGATATAGTTCCAAAATACGTCAAATTAACACACATAATACTTTACAAAAAGTATAGCTCAATGACCTAGGGCACTGGACAACAATATTTACTATAAATTTAGTTTCAGTATAATTGCATTTCTCAAAAATAAAGTTACCTTTTTTTATATTTAAAGGTGAATTACTTATAATTACTCGTTCTACGTAATTGTATAAACATAAGTATGTACATATTTATTTATATTTAATAAATAAAAATCGCATTAAAAGTAAAACTGAAAATTTTGAAAATTCAATTATTACGTAATTTTTTTAATATACAGCGCAAAAACGCGCCCTTTAGCGAGTTTTCATTATAAAGTCTGGCGACACGCCATAACTCACAAGTTCATTGAACTATATGCTTATATGATTATAATTGCACAAACATGAGAAGTCAGCATGTTGTACAATTAAATTAGATCACAGTCTTTTAGAAGACTAATCAAAAAATATTATTACAGATTGTATTATTTCCTAGAATCAGTATTTTTATTCTAATCTATCATATTACGATTTAAAGGGTTAAATAATGCCGATACACGTATAACTATATTTATCGTCAAAATCTACATTACTCAGTTATTGTTTAGACAATCAAATCCCAACATTTAATTCAACACAGGAAACATGTATAGATATTATTATTACCATACTACGTGTCTTGTTTTAAATTAAACACCGTCAGATCAAATCAAATCATATTCCGTTTCCGTAATATTTAAATCACCAAGTCACCCCAGAGCCAATTCTAATCCCAATTCTGAAAATACGGCGTGTACCGCTTCATATTCCATCCATATCAATGATACAATTCTAATAAAATGTGAAACCTAGTATATATATTCCAAACCTATTTATTAGATTAACAAAGAAGACAAGGTCACTTGTGTCGGTACAATGAAAACATACATTATTTTAATAGGATTGGTAAAATATATTCATCTACATATGAGCATGGGAAACTAAACTATCTACAATACACAATGTCAAGAATGATTAGTATTTAGCATGACAACAGAGATCCACCAGTGATTATAAAGGATTTTGATACAACAGACACTGTAGGTCTTATGATGGGATAATATCATACAATTTAAGAGAGAAAACTATTAATGTTAAATTAGACTGAGTGGGACTTATTTAATATCTCAGTTTGTTTTGAAAATAGATCCAGTTACTTTGCAAGGTCAAGCAAGTTTCAGATAATATTGGCATAATATCATTACCTCAAGGTGATATTATGTTAATTATGTAGGAATGTTATTTTTGAATCTGTTATTTTGTTAAATCAATATTTTTGGTTGTATATTTAATACAATAAAAATTATATTTCCAACAGAACAGTGTAAATTATAGATTACAAGTTTATAGTATAAAACTTTAGTTTAGTTAAACTTGCTAGTTAGGTAGGTTTACTAACAGTTAAACCATTCTTTTTATAAATTATCAATTCATTGAGACATTGTTGGACATAACAATCTAGCTTAATTTACTGATAAAAGTTTTTGAAGTTATACTTCTTTAGGCGCGTTATAAAAAATTGATGAGAGTGAAATTTTACGATGCGCGCGCACCTGAGACACAAAGTTGTCAGTGTGATTATAGCGTGCGCGAGCGAGATGGGAATAAGACAATCTACAAGTAAAAAGAAATAGAATATGTGTGAAGTTAGCAGCTATGCCAAGAATTTTGAATGAACATAATGGTAGGGGAGCCCAAGAGGGGATTTCGGGATTTACTAAAGCGCGGCAGATTAATATATAGGGGGATACCTTGTACCCGGTTAAGTACCTCCACAAAATATGAGGCCCATATATAAGGCCGCACGTGAAGGAGACAGGATCAGTTTAGTAAAAAAAAATTGACCATCAGAAATTCCCGAGCGCGTCAGATTAAGGTAGGGTGAGTTAATTACATCCTAAAAAGTGTATATTCCACTAATCTGACAATTTGAGAGTGACGGAAAAAAAGGGGAGGGCAACAAAGTTGTAAAAAAAAAACGTCATCTCGACATTCTCGAGCGTAGCTAATTTTTTTTTATTTTGAAGGAAATAATTCAAGAATAATGAAAAATATATAATCTGACGATTTCCGCAAGCCGAAATAACAAAAATTCGTCGATAAAGTTAAATGCGTTCAGCTGCGTGATGCCTACATTTCCTTAAACCGATCGGAATCTACTAAACGGCGTTCTAAATATTTCCCTCAAAATTACATTTCCTGTGAATTTGAACCGATTCGGACCGATAGATTTTGAGAAATTTTGAAAAATCTTAAAAAAATAAGAAATATTTTTTTTTAAAGTGGTTTCTTTATCGATCAACTTCAAAAACTAATCCGCCTTTGAGCTTAAAAAACCACGTCGATCGCCACCAAGCTGGTCAAAAGCGGTTGATTCGTTCGAGAGATATCGTACACGAAAGAAACCCGAAAAAGTGTTTTTTCGAGATTACTCCGAAATTTGTGGTTCGATCAATTAAAATTGCAAAATCACTTATGAGAATGATAAAACTGCGTCGAATGCCGCCAACTGCGTGAAAATTGCTTGATCCATTCAAAAGTTATTGAGGTTTGAAAATTCCAAAAATAGTGTTCTATGAAACTTCTATCAGACTTTCGAGCTGGGAGAGCTCAAATGCATAGAAATGTTATTTCTTTGAACTCAGCGAGCTCAAAATATCAATTTTAAGCGCCCAGGAATGGAATTAGCGGGAAGTTGCAGGGATGGCCCTTTAGGTGAACCGTTTTTCTATTTTTTTTTTGTCAGATCAGGCGAATCCCTCTAGATAATCGTCAGATTATGAGACAGTACGTTTAGAACATAAAGATGAACCACATATATCTTAATCTGACGCGCTTGAGTATTTCAAAATTGCGATTTTTTTTTGCAAATTAAGAAAATGGCTGTGGGTTTGCGTCCCATCGAAATCGTCAGATTAGTGAATGAGAGCTTTTTTTTGGTGCACTTAACACTCCCTTAGAAAATCTGACGCGCTCGATAAATTTTTTTTTTTTAAATTTTCAACACTTAAATACAACCACCCGCATCATGCAAACGATCAGATTAACATACGTACATTATTAAAAATACGTAGGGCATAGATGCTATTAATATCTGACGCGCTCGAGGATGTCCATGCAACAATTTTTTTTTACATATTTAACTATCTATAGCCGCTTCCCCCCACCGATGAAAAGGAATTTATCATATAACATTTTTTTCTTCTTTTTATCTAAGCTTTGCATTCCAATAGGTCTCTACGACGCTCGAGTAAATCCCCATTTAGCATCGTGGGCTCCCCTACCATAATAGACATTTACCTTTTAAACGAAATAAAGGAGTTTTAATTATTTTTTCAAAGAAATTTAGCAATGCTTTTTCACAAAGACCTATTGTTACTTAGTTAAAAGGTTATGAAACATACGTAGTTATTAAATTGAATGAATAATATAATAAATAATAACAATAATTAATATTAATTAATAATTGAATAATATACTAAATATTAAATATTATTAAATTATATACGTTAAATATTTGTTATTAATTATTTAATATTTTAAATAAATAAAGAAAGCCAAAGAAGTATAACTTCTTACACGCGTACATAAGTACACGCACCCTTTTTTTTGCTATGTCTTACTGACTTTACTTAAAAAACTGTGTAACATGTTTTTTTGAAGTTATTCAATTATAGTTCTAAAATGAAAATGTAGAAAAACTTTACGGACTTGTAACTAAATTGAAAAAAGATGGTGCAGGTATACCCACTTCAAATGTGTATTTAGTTCTTGAGATACTTATAAGTCTCTATTTATGAAAGACAACACATGGCTGTAAAGATCAAAAAGTTGTAAACACAGGACATACACAGTGTAACATACTAAAAACAGCCTAAAAAGAAAATAGAGCCTTTAGAGTTATTTTAGTATAATATGTTTATAAACATCATCTCATAAGACATGATTATATATACTTGTTAATTCATTTAACTGGAGGTAACTTTCAACTATTAATTTCATTTCTCATTGATCAATCCAGAATCTAGAATGTTATGTAGAATATTATCTTCATATATACAAACAAAAGGATGTCTTCATAATATGGGATCTTTAAACACAGTTTAAGCCAAGTGAAAAGATATTTGCAATTTAAATTATGTTCTACCAATTGAATGGGTTGACCTTAGGCCTCAAAGAGAAACCTAAGCTAAACAAAACATTGTGCTAGGAATATTTAACAGAAAGATAATGTATGTATATTGGCTTACTTGAATACGTTTTGAAACTGATTTTATTTAGTTATTACAACTTTTTATGAAATTGGGTGTGATGTTCTAAATATCAAACAAGATATAGTTGCTCAATTTAAGACAAAAATAATAGTTAATTTATCGTAACAAATTGAAATTAAAAATCAAGTTAATAAAAATAATTAAAAATGACTACTGTATTAATCCAGTTTGTCCCATACATACAAGTGTTAACATTATCAATTATATATAGAATTCCATGTTCATATTATCAACCAATTAAGTTTCTATGAGGAACATAATTAATTCAATTTGCATAAATTACTAATACAATATACGGATCTACCTTAGGTCTATTATAGTCACACTGCCAAAGATTAAAAATACTTAGTTTATGAATGTTTATAACTTGTCCATGGATAAATTATTAAATATTGGATTAAGATTGCTAGTATATTTTAGTACTTTATTTATTAAACTGGTAAAATTATTATCTTTTTCTGAATGTGTGGGACATCCTATTAACTATGGTTGAGTGATTGTTACGCCTCAGTTATTAAGGGCTTGGAGTAATTAAGGCAGTATTGTATATATGAAATTCTGTGAAGCATGCGCCCATGTTAAAAATAAATCATATAACCCATAAAAGTTAAATCTAGGTAAAATCCCTTTTTTGTGGAAATGCATTCTGCTATTCAGAGACTGGGTGAGCAAGACCCACTTAAACCACCACGAGTACTTCCTACAAAGCCGCGTTACAGAGGCTCCAGGGTCGCTGTCGCATTCTACCTGGACCTCAACGGCATGTTACACTAAAAAACCTCCGGTGCAGTATACACTGCATAGGAGGTAGGAGATGGGGATATCTTCTCCTATTTACTCCCCGAGGTAAAATCCCTAAGCTGCTTGACATAATTTACATATGCATTAAATAGTTAATACATAACATTATATTAGTTTTATTGTGAGTAGTGAGCTCACGGTTTTAAAATTAAGATAGAAATAGGCAATTCTTTATTTTTTACGGATTGTGCACCATTTTTAATGAACTTAATACAACTAATCTACTGTGTGATACAATTAATAATAAAGAACCGGACATTTTGTGGAGTTTACACTTAATTTTATAACTTTATAACCTTACAATTCACAAAAAATTGTTTCAATAAATGCAAATTAATAATCAAAACTTACAAAAACTGTCTTTTAAATATTATGATCTTTCAATTCAAATAGGACCCTTATGTATCTAAACACAAAAAAACACGATAAGGGAATGGCGGGCGGCATAACATGGCGAAGTAACTTAATTACTGTTAAATACAAATAATACATACGAATAGATCCTTCCTTTTATTTAAAACCTCAGCGAAATCCACACAATATTTTAACATAAACTTGATAGTAAATTAAAACACGATTATTTAATTTAATGAGAAAGCGTCACTCACTAAATCACACAAAATAAAAATGCTCCATAAATAACAAACTACAAAGTAAAACTACATTACACCATGACACCTGACAGACTACGCACATCTATGGTCGTAACCTCTGGCTCTAAATTTTAATTATGAAGTAGCAAGTGCATAGCTATTAAAAAGAACTAAAACGAAGAAAAAGAACGAAATAGCGTATGAAGGGATATGTTTGTCCTTTAATTCTAAAGCCATCCTAGGAAAAAGAAGATTAAATCATAATGTTGGCTTCTTCCGGGCTAGATTTGTGCTTTGTACACAGTTCTCATAGAAAATATCTTTGGTTATTAAAGGATGCTGTAATTTATGTAAGTATCAGCGATAAATAATCAATAAATTTAAACAAAAGATCGGTTGGCATTTGGCAAGTATTATCTAAGGAAACGTTAATAAAGAAATAATGTTATATGGGGGGTGAACTTTTGACAAATGGTATCAACTACGGAATATATTTTAATAATAAGATGTAAAGCTGTAAGTTGTGTCTTAGTAGGCTATTGTAAATGTCATTTAACAATTTAAAAATTACTTAACATTAACCATAATACGTGATTATTTATTTCTATCGACAAGAAAATATCTTATTCGCTCAAAACAACACTGGCAGCAGCTTTGTCTCTAGGTAACTAAAGACTCAATAAAAAATGATTTGTGATTTTACGCAATAGAAGCGCGTTTGAAATTATGATATCAATATAATCCCCTTTACAAAAAAAAATTAAATATGATTGTTGAAGTTATACTTTAGGCGCGTTATGAAAAATTTATGAGAGTGAAATTTTACGATGCGCGCGACCTGTGACACAAAATTGGGAGTGTGATTATAGCGTGCGCGAGCGAGATAGGAATAAGACAATCTACAAGTTAAAAGAAATAGAATATGCGTGAAGTTCGTATGCCAAGAATTTTGAATGACCATAATGACATTTGTCATTTACCTTTTAAACAAATAAAGGAGTTTTGATTATTTTTTCAAAGAAATTTATTAATTTTATATTGTGCAATACTGCCAAAGCTACAACATACTTCTTAGTGTTTGGTAGAGATGTTCTAAATATATAATAATATATACTTTTAACTAAATAGAATTTATGTTACACTTAATGTAAGAGAATAATAATAAATAATTATTTATTTAATTTTTTCAAATGTAAACTGAACTTAATTGACTATAATGACTCCTTTTCCAGTCTTTGATTATTTAATTGTAATTAATTATTTGCATGCAATCAAAAACTATTTTTAATAATGCCAAAGAAGTATAACTTCTTCGCGCGTACATAAGTACACGCACCCTTTTTTTAAATTTTTTGACGAAATGTATCCATGTCATTTGTTAATTGTCAGAGACTTCAGATTTGTCAATCGATTGTCAATGAAAGCACCATGTGCCATGTGGTGCTCGCGTTTACTTTAAACTTGGAATTGCGAAATTAGTTATCAATTACCTGTAACGGTATAATATTGCTTTTCAATGTTTAAATAATTAACATGGATTACGTAGTTGGAAGTGTTGCAGCTTTAGTATCTGGTAATGTGACGCCAAGTAGGCCAAAATTATTAAAAAGAGCATTAACTCCTACCAAACACCAGCCATCACCTAACGTCACCCCAAGGAGTGAATACGTTGATGACCGTTCCATATTCTTGTCTCCAACTTTACAGAAAAAGAAAGCGATAGTAAAGAAATCGCCAAAACGAATATTTCAGAATCCAGACTTAGATACGACAGTTGAAGAAGGTAATAGCAATTTAGCCAACCTAGTTGTTGATAAAGCAAAGAAACATTTAAAAGAACAGCTAGAAACTGATGGTCAACACACTATGAAAATGAAGAGTCCCAAATCTCCTAAGGAAACACCAGATGCTAACGCAATCTCAGAAAATATACAAAATAGTAATAAACCTTTAAAAAAGAAGAAAAGACGACAGTCCAAAGCTCAAGAAAGTAGTACGGAAACCCTTGTAACAAGTGAAGATAAAGGATCAAAAGATGATCCAATGAACATATCTTCAAAGAAGGCAACATCTAATGACAAAGAGAGTACTAATAAATTAGAAGTTATTGAAACTGACTCCAAAGAAAATGTTACAGAAATCATAAAAACTAAAAATAATAAAAAACACAAAAAGAAAAAAAATAAGGCAAAGGTAGAATTGGGAAGTGAGAATACAGAACATGTAGATAGAGAAATACAAATAGAAAAAAGGAAATCAGAAATAAATATGCCTGCGGCCAATGATGAAATGATAGTTAATCCAAATGCAATTACTGCCCAAGATACAGATTCTGAGCATGAATCAGATCATGAAATACAATCAGAGGATGAACATAAAGAATCACTTGACACAGGTAATAAGATAACTTCTCTTTTATGTAAGGTAAAGTGAATAATGGAGGGCTTGAATTCTTAGAAAACCTGTGGAAGTCATATTTAGTATGTATAGTAAGCCATGTCATAGTTTACACAATAGGAGTCAGTGTGACACTTTGTGATTTTCCATGGGTATTCTGCATGTAGTCATGATATTGTTTTCACTATTTTAAAGCCAAATCTAATGTTAGTCACAGGTTCGTCCTTATTAGTACAATAAATTTAATAGCAATAATTGTTTTTTATTCTGAACTCAATTTTATTTAATAGGGCCAGCTGACAGTTCTGATGATGAAGAAAAAGCGCCAGAAAAAAAGGGGAAAAATAAGAAGGCAAAAGAAACTAAGACAGATAAAGCAAACATACCTCAAGAAGAGAGTGAAGATGAAGTAAAGAGAACCCTGTTTATTGGGAATGTGCTTTACAAGCCTAAGACTAAAAGGATATTAAAAAATTATTTAGTCAGTATGGAGATATTGACACTGTAAGGTAAGATATTTCTTCATATGGGCCATTATTACTGGAAATATATATATTATTACTATTACTACTGTTTTATATGTAGTAATTTTTTGTAAAAAGAATTTATATGTAAAAAAGCCTATTTATTCCCTTAAAAACTATTATAAATATAGGCATAATTTAATTTTTCTTTATCCTTTGCCAAGTCAATTCGAGATCTGCTCCCTGTCTGTTTTTAATTCCAGCTTTTTTTTATCATGTGAACAAACATGTGTTTCCAGAATTCGTGCTGTGCCAGTAAAGGATGCAACTATGACTCCAAAACTTGCAATTATCAAGAATGAATTGCACCCTGAAAGGACAACCGTTAATGTCTATGTCAAATATCAGAAGCCTGAGTCTGTTGAAAAGGTTAGTTTGATTTGGTTCCATATTAATAATCATAGTTTGTTGATGAATTGTACGCACAAATGAAGCATCTAAGTGTGGAAATTGAGTCCATATTACATATACTATATTCCATGTTGATGAATTATAGCCATTTTAAGTTACTGTTACTTTGTCTGTGTGTAAATAGGAAAGCATAATTTATAAGATCTATGATACAGAAGATGGCACCAGATTTTTTTTTAATGTAGTGCAATGTAAACTATTATTATACTTTTAAATCTTATTCTTGAATCATTGTCTATTAATGCTAACCACATAAAAATCAGATATAGTTTTAAAAATTTACTATATAGATGATGAAAATATATTTTATACAATAAAGTCTTTTGATAGTTTGAATCACTACCTACAATTTAAAAACAGCTACCAACTCCGTCAGCCACTTATATATTATGTGCTTTTCCTTTTAGGCTTTGTCTGCAAACAACACTGTACTAGATGGTCACCACCTACGAGTGACTCGAAGTGATATAACTGGTACATTGGATACCAAGTGTTCTATATTCATTGGTAATTTGCCTTTTGCTATAGAAGATGAAACGTTAAGAGCCAAGTTTGAGAAGTGTGGAGAAATAGAATCAGTTCGGATTGTGAGGGATGAGAAGACTGGTGCTGGAAAAGGTATTCTACGAATTATGTAATATGTAACTCTATGATTTACCAAGATTATATACAGAACTTAAAATGTTATTGTCAAATAATGTTATAAATTCGCGTTAAGTTACATTCATAAGTTTTAAGTTTTATTTAATTATGTAGTTCTGTAGTAACCAAAGACAATAATAATAAAGTTAAAATAAAGAAGTAAAATATTTAAATTCGAAATATTCCTGCCAAATACTCAACCTTCAGCAATAGCTTCATTTGGCGCTCTACCGCCAATCAGATTTCGATGTGTATGACCAAACATGCCAATCCCATACTATTTCATATTACAATAGAAGGCCAGTCGCAAAATATACTTAGTGCCCCGATAATGCACAGTTATTTACTTTAAGAATATTAAGTTGATAACTGTATATAGCTCATTGTGACATTGTTCCAAGCTCAAATTCAACCAGTAATTTTTCAAAAATTGCAAAATTTATTTTATTGTTGTAGTGCATACTGTTTTTTTACTAGACTACTTAAATAGTTAATCTAATGGTAATATTTCCTTTCAGGATTTGGCTATGTTAATTTTAAATCAAAGGATGCAGTAGAGTTAGCGTTAGCTCTCTCCGAAGAAGATCTTACTATAAAAAATAGAATCCTCAGAGTAAATAGGTGCCTTCAAATACATAGCAAGAAAAGTGCAAACAAAAATAACAGGGACAACAGAAACAGTGGAAACCGAAACGTTGGAAATAACAGAAATGGTGGATACAACCGAAATGATGGCAACTACAGAAATGGTGGAAATAACAGGATTGCTGGTAATAATAGAAACAGTGGGTTTGATAGAAATGGCGGTAACAGAAACTTTGGAAATAGAAATTTTGATAATGGAAATCGAGGGTTTAACAGAAACGCACCGGGCAAGTTTGACAGAAATAATGGCCAGGAACAAGATGGTGCTTTTAGAAGATTAGCAAATAAAAGAAAGAATCAGGTTGGTGTAATTTTTAATTTTTACTGCTAATTTTTTGTGATGTTCATTTTAGTTAAAGAAGAAGTCACAATTAAATGTTAAGAATGATTTCTGTATGTATGCGTTGATTATGAAAAGTAGTAATGTGGGTTGATAATTGATATGGTTTTTTAATGATTAATGATTATTATTTGTTGATGCTGCGGTATCTGTGATTCTGAATTACGCGGGTTATGTCAATATTGAAAACAACTCGTTGTATGGCATATCCTACTCGTTCCGAAACTTACGTTTTACGTACTTGACTTTTTTAATACAATGTTAATATTTAATATCTTACAGGATGAAAGTGAAGGACCAGCTAATAAGCTCGGTAAGAAAGAGAGGAAGGAATTTGTTGGAAGAACTGCAGAAAAGAAGAAGGTAATCATTATCAAATTTTTAAAACATAACGGAAAAAATATCAAGTCATTATTAAATATGTTGTATTTATAGCATACAATGTTTTAATACTCATTACGATGCAGATTAAAACCAAATTCTAGAAGTTTGTATTGCCAAGAACTTTTCATTTTTATTTTTGGCTTAAGGTGCACAATTTCTATAGTCCATGGCAAACTACTAATTATTTACATGTGTGGGCGCGCCCGCTATGCGCGTTTGTATTTATAAATGTTACGTCATTTTGAGCTTTTGTTTATTCTGTACAAACTTGTTTTTTATTTATAAGTTAGGATACATTTTTCACAAAGGTGTAGGTACCTATAGGAGGTCATGTGCAGTTTAATACTAAATCCATACGACCATGTTTGAAAATTAAAAAAAATAATGAGATATAAAATATTTTTTTTACAGAAAGGAAAATTCAACAAAGGTCAAAAGAAGAAGAAAGCGCTTAGTGAGATTTTAACTAAGTAATTCAATGAGCTGTAACTTGTCGTCACTTCAATAAATTTTAATTATGTAATTTGGTGAAGTATTTTTATGAAATATACTAACTGTTATATTTATAGATTGCTTCATTTATTTGAAACAATAATAGCGTTTTAACTATTTCGAATCACGACAACTGCTTATTGCTGAAACGGACTAACGAAGATAGATCATTGATAAAAGATAGTAAAATATGTTTGCCATATGCCTAAAATGTTCAAGATTGTTTACCAAGAGAACTAAGGAGGAAAGAAAAACATCGCTATGACAGATTGTACGGACTTTTATTTAAATAAAAAGGTCTACATTAATAAACACAATATCTTATTTGGTACAATATTGTATAATTGTCATAACAAAATGTCAATGTTAGCAAAAATAATCACAGTCTGACACTTCTAGCCTAATCTAGCTCCTATTGAATTACATTTAAGTATTGCCCGTTCAAATTTAACCGAATTTATTATATTTTCTGTAAAAAAAATACAAAATTTTATGAAATACCTGGCAACATTTACTATATATGCCATGTCTAAAATACAACCTTATTTCTATGAAGCCTAAATTATTTCAAACTATACATTATAGATTATCTTATTGCCATTGACAAGTTGGTGTATATTTATAATCTACGGAACATAATTCGATTGAAGATGGCGCGTAGTGTCAAAATCTTAGGTTGTAATCAACGATTACATTAAAATTTTGTCGCAGAGTTCGATAAAAAAATCACCATTATGGCACCATCTAAATCTATGGTAACTTCGAGTCATAGACACTTAACGTAGTCCTATACCGGGGATAAAAAAATCATCCGGGAAGAAACTAGCATTGTATAATGAAGGTGAAATTAGCTATAAGATTTTTTTGAAGTTACGACGACAAACTTTCAGATGCACATGAAAATTCAGGCATTTCTTTCTTATATAATTTTTAATGGGAATTATATCTCTGGTAATACTAAAAGAATATTTTTAGGTCTTAATCCTCCTTTGTAAGAAAAAAAACCCTAAGAAAAACGTTCGACAAATCATAATTGCTAACATCCCTAAAACCTTATAGTATTATTCTACTATTTACATTGACTAACAGTCATTTACTCTAAGGCCTGGCTTATTTTGGCGGGATTAGCACACAATATAATCTAATTTCATCAATATAATCCAGGCAGGTGTGAAATCAATTTTAACCGATTTTGTTTGTAGAAAAATATCCACATAGAGTATCCGAAAATTTTTGGAATAAGTATCCATATTATGTTATCCTGGTCATTTTAAATGGTTTTTAATGGTAAATATTTTACTCTTGGTTATAACGATTTCACACATTGTTCATAGCAGTTTGAGCAAATTATTTTCACGATACAGCAATGAGCAATATAATAAGGGTTGCCATATACAGCAGATAAAAAAGAACTTGCATACAAAACCCAGAAAAAATAAATAATCACCGTTGTTATGTAAAAACCCAATAGTCAGAACTACGTTTTTGGATCATATATGGTTGAATTTTAAATATTTTATCACTGCGTTACTATTACAACATTTCATATGATACAACTGGATTAAAATATCAATCTAGGCACAAAGTCCATAGCTAAATAAATGGTACTGGGTTTTTACAAAGCAACACTTATAAATAAAACAAAAACTAATTTAACCCCGTTTGAACCTCAAAATCGTTATAGTAAGGACTAAGAATAAAGTAATCCACAGTATAGTCGAAACAAAGCCCATATAGACATCGGGGTCAGTTATGGGCCAACCGCGGGTCAATATGGATCTTAGTGACGAGGTAGCGAGGGTCAAGGGTAAACAAGTAGACACGTATCGTAGTATCCATGGCATGCCCTCGATGGGCCAAATTACCCCACTGAGAAGGAGAGTAGGGTAGAATGAACCTAGGGCAAGCTGGATGGCGTTTCGTTCGAGCTCGCAGGCAGCTGATATCACGAAGCCGAAGCACATTCCACAAAGTCCTGAAAGAAGGTATTATTCGATATTATATGACCCAATACTTTACATCTGCAATGAGGGTGCAGAGGTAGGTTTTGATGCTAAGGCCGAAGGGGACCTTCTTTATGAGTGGAAAACCTACAGCCGATTATTATCTATATTAAAGTAAAATATTTAAAATAACAATACCAAAGAGATTGCACGGTTGTTACTTGGAAGTATAAACTTTAATTTTTCTTGAATCATTTATATTTATACATGGGTAGAAAAGGCGGAACAAGTTTACTAAGAAGGGTAACAGTAAATTACAGTTAACGCAGTTTTTACCTTGCAAAATCGTCAGCATGACGACATACGCGATGTTTCCATTACTCTTCACTCCAAAGACGAGTATCATGAAAATGAGCACCAACGCTGTCTGTCCACACATCACAACAAACTGAGTCACCACATGAGAGAATAAAATCTCCCCTGGGGAAACACCAGCCACCCAGGATCGATCCAATAGACCCTCAGTACGTTCTACTATGAGAGCAGACGAAGTGAGAGCTACGGCCAAGAAGAACACGATTCTGGAAAAGAAAGTTTTTGGTATCCTCTATTACATACCGAAGTTCTAATTCTTGCCAAACGAATTTTAGTATCTAGTGTAAAAATCTTTTTGTAAAATTTTAGGAAAAAATTCATTAAGAAGTATCACCTTGTTGCAGTAAAACAATTGAATACTTACTTATGTCGACATTTAACAATATAAGTAACGTCGTTTTTCTACTTAATATAAGTTTATCTCACATCTATACAAATAAAAGCTCTTTTTCATGTTGTGGATATGTACTTACGTTAGAATAACCCCCGGCGCGACGAAATCAGTGAAGGAAGGATTGGTATCACCGTAAATAGGATCCTTGAAGTCGATAGGAATGTCGCCTACTTTAGGATTGTAGTTACATGACGATAAAAGACCCTGAAATAGATCGAATTATTTATCAGACCTGTTTAAAAGACTTGACAAAATATACATATGATTAAATACAAAACCAGAATTTGAAACTAGTTAATAACTAGTCGAGGAATGCTTAAAGGTAAGATTAGAGTCGGGACTTACGCGACCGAAGTGACTTGCTAGTATATTTTAAAAAATTATGCGAGAATTACCTTAGCGAAGTCCCTGTAAGAGAATTGTATGTCTCTACTCAGCATCAAACCAATTTGCTGATTGGACATGTCCAGCCATACTTCCACCTCTGATGATAGTATTGTCTCATTGTCAGCCGTGTCACCTGAAAACCATTAAAAAGAAAATTGAAAATTATTTTTTTCTGACATTATTTTCATTATTTTAAACATTACACCATGAAAATTAAGCTCAAAGCTATTTTTGTTTAATATTATTTATTCAGATGATATATTACAGCGAAAATCCATATTCAAAGAATTTGAACATATTTATAACTGTAACTTAGTCCAAATAAATATTTATAAAAAATATACATAATAAAAAGTAATAACAAGTTTCTCACCCAAAGCCAGTCTCGCGACCAAGGAATCGGTATAATTCTCGTTGAAATAGATGACTCCCCAGGCCTCTCCTTGCCGAACTGCTTCTTTTGCATCATCTAGGTCAGCATAATAATTCTTGATAATTGACTCATTTTTCAAATTGTCCAAATACCGGCAAGACAGATTCTTCATAGAGCAGGAAGAGTTGTATGGACAGTAGCCGTCGAACACATTAACGTCGTGGTTTACTATAGCCTGTGGTTTGTAAGAAAGAATTAGTATACATATAAAGAAATATTGTTTTTGTTTAATGAAATAATTGTGATAATAAAGGTTTCATCCCAATATCTTATTTTATAAGTCTTACCATTTTAAGTCCACTTGGGTCTCGTCCAATTGCCAAACAGAAGAGAATGACCTGCATCACGGGTAAGGCAAAGATGAATAGCATCACACCGATATTTCTCCACATCCGCAAGAAGTTCTTTTGAATCAACGCCTTAATTTTACCTCGGGATGTGAACTGGAAATTATAATATAAATGGATTATTATGATTACAACATCTACTGTTATCATACGCAAACTTTTAATTATCTAAGAAAATATAACTTATTTCTTAATTTAATTAAAATGTCAAAATAAAGAGACGTTTTCAGAAGAAAATTTAAATTTCTTATTTAATGATGTAATAAGTACTTAAAGCCCTACTTAACCGATGTCTTGCCTCTTTTAGATTTCTCAATTTGCCCCAAGAGTAATACAAACAACATTAAATAGCTATATTTGTAGTACGTTGAATATGTTAGTACATAATATTTAAAATATACTCACACTAAATCTACCAGCGCAATCGGTACAATCTGTTGCAGCCTCCGATTTCTTTCCTGGTAACTGAAAGTTTAATGAAACAAAAATTATTTTTACAAAATATCGATAGAAATTCGGCAGCTTTTCTGTCATACAGATAAAACTATGGATCGTTGTATGGTATCCCATATATGCAATTCACACATATACAGTACATATACGTATACAGAGATTATATATATATTAGTAGGCAATTTACGTATATTAGTTACTACTTTAGTTCAAAAGTATTAACAACTTCCAAAAAAAGTAACGTATTGCCATAACTCAATATTATTAATAGATAGTACATACTAAAAAATTTCAATATTTGATGTAATATTGTTGTGTACATTTAGCCTGTGTTATTTATAATGTAAAGTAAAATCTTACTCATTGTGGGGAGATTTATGTCACTTACCTTAGTGACACAACTTTTATCTCCAAATTTATAAAAAATACCAGTACTAATGCCTTTTAATGTGGAAATAGACACTTGCTTTCTTATACGTATAGGTATACGTAAATAAGAATATTTTTAAAACTCACATCTCCATTTGAACCAACTCCGTTATCAACAATTAGCACCTCCTTGCTCTGGTGGAAGTTTAGCCCGATGACTTGCGCGTCTTCATTGGCGTAGGGAGCTTCTTCCCGTTTAGACATCTTGTTGAGTCCTAGGCCTCCGCCCGATACAGTTATTTCTGGTACCTGGTTGCCTTGTCCTGAAATTATTTAGTAATTATAAGAGTTATTAGAGAACTGACTGTAGGTTACTTTAGCCATAAACATGTTTTAAGTCTGACATTACATGAAAACTGTTTAGCAAATATTAATAAGTAATTATATTTAAAGGTATTTTACCGCCTCCTAGGCTCCGTCATTTTGTTAGTTTTAATGCGTTTATTCCGAAAATCCTTGGTCCCAGTAAGAAATTGGAAGGCACAAAAAGCTTCGGAGTTATATGATCAATAATTTTTGAATTGAATATGGGCTCTTACTTTTTACTATATAATGTTTTTAAAGTTTTATTTATCATTAAGTTATCCAATTTAGACTATGGCAAAAAACTTGCTAATGAGATATTGAAGTTATTCAGCCCTTGATAATGGCCTATTTATTCGAAATAACAAGTCGCAACGAGAAATACATCACTTTAAAATATCATTTAAATAGGAAGTCTAGAATGTCTATGTTATTGAAGATCGCGTGCAACCTTTGCAAGGTCTTGAAGCATGAATAAGATAATTCTATAAATGCTTGAATGGCACGGAATAATTAAAAACTACAAAATATGTAAAATTTTGTATAATATGAAAATATGGTTTTCTATTACATTATTAATTTTAATCATATATTTATGCATAAGCACGAAGTATATAAACAAGAATTTGAATTTGCTTTAAAAACATGATATTTAATGGTTTTAGTATAAATTGACTTTTAATTTTGAAAATATTGAAAGAAAAACGGCAAAGTTAGTTTGGGATTTCGAAGTGTAAAATTAAACTTCAGTGTCTTCTTCTTATGTGTTCATCAAAATATATTTTTTAAATTTAATTTTTTTTTTTTAAATCTTTAATCATTTTTGGTATAATAATATAAAACTTTGTAAAGCATAACTGAACTTGAGATGACTTCCAAATGTGCTAATTGACATTCTTTGTCTCTGCTAATTGAAAAAAATTACAATGATAAATTCACGCGTTTAAACATTAATATTTTATTTTATTGATTAAGAAGATGTATATAATTGATGATAATATTTTTACTACACCTTCTGTTGTTTTTTTTAAATGGCTTTATAACCTTTAAATTTATAAACTATTTAGAAGACTACTTTTCGTCTCAATGGTATACCATTCAGACAGGGCAGACAAGTAAGTCGATATGTTCTGTTTAATTGAACACATCGTAAAATTGATCATTATTTTAAGGCATGGTGATAAACGTTCCTATAATTTTTTTGCGTTACCAATCAGAAACAATGATTGTATCCGCATATCATACCTAAGTATAATTATTTCAAATAAAATCACTAAACTCCAAAGACAGTAAACATAACAAGTACATTACTGCAGGTTCCACTCCATTCCTGGTTTTATAAGTTACCTCTTTTTAATTGTTACCTGAGTGTGATGCATTGGACAGTGAACAGTGAACAGTGAATGGTGTACATTACATTATTATTTTACTTAAATTACAATTAAATCACAATAAATTTCTGTAGGTTTTCGTATAAGTCTGGTCACCAAGGCTCTAGTTAAAAAAACATTGTACGTTTTCTACTTTTTTTTTGCGTAGTAAGGCAAGACAAAACGCACATTTGTGAAGCGCATGGGGCTTTTGCAATCATACTTTGAAATTCTCCGTATTGAAGTATCAATAAATAATTTCTCATTTATTAGTAACGTATGGATTTCCGTCAATTAATCACGGAACTCATAAGATGTCATTGCGCAAACACTTATATAACGACTTATATAGCTATCGTACAACATTTATCATAGTTACTCGTGTTACGTCTTAAATTATATGAATAGGTAATTTTACTAAGTGCTAAAAAGAATACGTACACCAAAGATATAGCACGACAATAAAATATTGCAATAAAGTTTTAGTTGGAAGTTTTCGCCAAATAATAAAAATACTTGCGTTTTTTTTGTGTTAATATGCAAATGTGAGCGTTAGATAATGTAAAAAATAAATATTTGATAAATCGTTTAACATTAAGTTGTTAAATACGTAATGTGAAAATTAAACAGCGGAATGCATGACAGATTTTTTAATACTGTGATAAAAATCGTAAGTCACGCTTAAGATTATTTTTTTTTATCAGCCAGTTAATTTATACATAACGTTATACATTTTAAACAATTTACATATTATAGCTTATAGCTTCTTAGCGCAAGTTTCACTATCCCATTGCTGCGTTTAAAATCTTACTTAGGTACTTAATACTTTTATTCCTATTATTGAGAACACCTTATTACGATGAGAGATTTAGACGAACCTAGCATTGAATACCTCGACATACCTTGTTTCCTAGATAATTTGAGGAAGACGTCTTCAAGGGATATGCAGTTGTACATTCTGAGGAGTGCCTGCGGTGGATCCTCTGCCAGCAAGCGGCCACTGCGCATCAAACCAATCTGAAAAATTTATACGTCTTATGAAATAATTTCTTTTGATTCATCATAAAAGGCATCATAAGCAACAGTGATTTTAAATATCCTCTTGAAATTTTAAAACTACACTTATTTTTTCGTGATAGAAATAATCTGTCTTAACAGGAGGCCGGTTTCAATGTCAGTTTTGTAACTAGTTTAGAATTTATTATGTTCTATATGAAATCTTAATATATATTATATAAATCTCGTGTCACAATGTTTGTCCTCAATGGACTCCTAAACTACCGAACCGATATCAATCAAATTTGCACACCATGTGCAGTTCGATCCAACTTGAGAGATAGGATAGTTTAAATCTCAAATTATAGTCGCAATTTTAATTTATTGCTAATTATTTGTCTGTTATTATTTGACAGTCACAAATCACAATTCTAACAGATGGCGCCGCGCTGTGTTGAAAGTACCAACGTTTCACATAAGATACTATTTAACATCTGTAACAAAAACCTTAGCCACAGCAACGCTTGGCCGAGTCTACTAGTACTAATATATATTGTAATTAAGTCATTAGACAAATGTAAGTTAATAAGTTAAAAACCCACTCTATTAATCCAAAAAAATCGCTAAATTTTCGTAGATAATTTATAAGTAGTCAAACCCGATACTGATTAAAACACGATGATGTTAAACGTGACATAAGAGATACCTTCTGACCTTGAGTCACATTCCAACTTGAAACCTTAATTTATTAAAGTAATTATTATACGATAAGGTTGCGTGTACGTGTATATAATAATTGCGTTATTAAGAAAGTCTTTCTAAGCGTGAATAATTTGATTTGATAGAGCTTTAGAAAGTAATAGTAGATATTTTTATAGTGTTTTAACACGTTATGTGAGGTTTATTTCATAAAAATTCATTTTGAATTAGTAAATGGAATGTATTGATTCCGGAAAAAAAACCTTTAGATTATTATATTCTAAATTATTTATATAATATTTTCTATTTTTCGGGGCTCACCCAATGTTTAGCGATGGAGCCAGGAGGCTCGCGAGCTGGCCTTTTAAGATTACTATGTATATTTCAACTACTCTCAATTAAGTAAATATACAAATATGTTATTGCGGGATGTATGCGGGGCTATTTTTAAAGTCCTTTTTATAATATCAGTCCATTAATACAAAATCTGAAACACCGTTTCTTTGATTCCCGACTAAAACAAATCCTTTTATTAATTTTCAATCAATAATTGCTTTTAGAATTGAGGAATAATAGTTATTCAAAAACTTGTTAAGTTTAAATTATGTTAATAATGAGTTAAAGGTCAAAGGTCAAGGGGTACGCAGCCATAATGATCTGTTCAAACGTTGTGCGCGCTAGCTACTCACAAAACAGTCGCCGGACTTAGACGACCTACGGACCGAATATTAGATTTACTGCTAATGTCTTTACAATTATAAACACCCTTAAGAAATCTAAGGATGAAATTCTATGAGAAATGCTTTTAATTTGTTTTTTGCAGAACTTTCCTAAATATATTCTCCTAATATTTTGTGTGCGTTCGTTCGACACATGTAAGTTCGTTCTTGTTAATAAGATTCCTTCGTAATCGTTAAAGTTACTACTACTAGATAAAGAAAGGATTCACTTGGGTGATCGGTGGGTAGAATTTTGTAGGTACATTACATTGTAGTGTTTTGTAGGTAAATTTAATTAAAAGTTTTAAGATATTTTATGTATTCATGTGTGAATTTCTGTTAATTATTATTTGTGTAAATTTTGTAATTTACTGTAAAATCAAGGTTAAATAAATTATAAAGCGACAGAAAAATATTTTTTAATGTTATTTAAGTAACTGTTTCTTCAATCTTGCCTCACTGTGTTAAAATAAATAACACATATAAAATTAAAATTTTTGCAAGTACTCAAAATTGATGTTTGGAAATTTCCATTGCGTGGGCAAAGTAGGTAATTAATATTTCGACCGTGAGATGTCTATTTTGGACGAGGCTCGATGCCTTTTAAAAGTGATATTGAAATTACTTTTAATTAATAGGCTTTTGTATAAAAAGCCTTGTATTTCCTTAGTTAAAATGAGGTAATTTATCAATCTTCTTCTTAATATGTATTTGTTATCTTTAAAAACCATTATGTTATAATTTTTGGTATGATAAAAACTACATATTTTCAAATTGTTTGTTTTCACAAGTTCATTGACTGTTCTAAGTAAAAGAACATTGTGTAGGAGAGTATAATAATTATATTATACATAATTTGCACTTTTGCAAAAAGTGAATATTTATTATATATAACGAAATATTTTCTAATATGATACATTTATAGGAGTCACATACTTCCAAATTTATTTATAACTCCTAAAAAAACATGCATGCCTAAAAAAATACAAGAAAATATGACGTCACAAATTGTACACACACATCAATTGTATTAGAACGTAAACACAATTAGAACTAATAACAAACTAGCAAGGAAAAAAAACAAGCAAACAGTAAAAAAACTCAATATACACTTAAACCTCATTAAGAACGTTATGCACAAAATTACGGCAAGAAGGAAGATTGTTGTAAAATATATTAATATATTCATTAATGTTAGTAATTAAATTGGCAGAGCGAGATAGGCTATTACAGCAAAAATTGCAGAAAAGCGAACCGTAGGTACGTTAAGAAGACTTTTCTAGTAACACTAGGATTCCAAATAAAAGGAAAATTATGTAAAGGTTAGTCAGTATGAGTATAAATATCAAATATTTTATAAAATAAAATCTGTATATTAGCATTTAGCAAATAAGTCACGTTTTTTTACCAAAAAACTTGGCCACATTCAATTAAATTTTTAGTATAATAATAAATGAAATAACTTACACAATGCGCCTGCCTGGCCTCTTCAATATAATGGGTTGTGATGATAACAGTCTTATCACCGGAGCTGGTGATTCGCACCAGATGGGTCCAGATGGACTGTCTAAGAAGAGGATCGACCCCCACGGTGGGTTCATCAAGGATCAGCAGTTCAGGATCGTGCATCAGTGCCACGGCGAAGGAGACACGCCGCTGTTGTCCACCACTGTTATACATAATATTTTAAATATTTAAGGGAAAGATCAGACCACGACCAGATATTCTTGAATAAGGACATCCTTGATCAATTTCCCCTTTTTAACATACGCCTTCGTGACAATAGGTTAAAACAAATTTTTGGATTGACAAAATCCAACCTGAAACTAAGCCGTCATAAATCCGAAGAGGTTATTAAATATAATTGCCTTAATGTTTCCATGACAAACAAAACACATCTCGTTCTACTTAATATGAAAGTAAATACTTATTACTTAACAGTTACATCATTCCAACATCCACTTCAAATAAGCGTCGAGATTTTACTTCTACCGAGAATAATAAATAAATCACCACAGTTTGATATATTTATGTCATATCTCTTTAATATCTATTTATTTTTTATCTTTAATAAAGCTGAGAAGATCAGCTTTATTAAATATTAGTATTATGTGTCATATTAGAAGAAGAAGAATATTTACAGCGAAGCGTCTAATATACAATACCAATCTATTTTGATTTTAAACTGTTGAACGCTGTTTATTTTTTTCCCACCAAACAAATTTTAACAACTTGATTCTAGCTACTTTTCGCTAAGTTTTCAATAAGGAATGCGATTTATATCAATGTCAAGCTTATCAGGCATTCTCAGTTTTAATATATTTGAATAAAAAATAAATAAATAATCAGTGGCGCTACAACCTCTTTAGGTCTTGGCCTCAGATTTCTGAAACTGTTTCATGATCATTTTTAAATCTAATAGGCAAGTAGGTGATCAGCCCCCAGTGCCTGACACACGCCGTCAACTTTTCACTCACGATGTTTTCCTTCACCGTTCGAACAAATGTTAAATGCGCACATAGAAAGAAATGCCATTGGTGCACAGCCGGGGATCGAACCTACGACCTCAGGTATGAGAGTCGCACGCTGAAGCCACTAGGCCAACACTGCTAATATGTTTGAATAGATTTTTTAAATATTACCCCAAAAATCATTTACTACCACAATATACTAAAGCCTTTTCTGTTTACTGTCTAAAAATCCGTCTAGGATCAATTATAGTAGGACCAACTTGATGCTAAATCTATGCTCTTTTAATTAACTCATTTGCTATTGTATTCAGTGTATTATAGAAAGTATAAAATCAACTGATAATAAGTTATTTTGCTTGAAAGTATGACACAGATTTAAAAGAGAAACGCATGATTCATCAATACATAAGAATCAGCAAATTCATTCATGAATGTATATAATGTATTAAGCACAGCAGCATTTACACAATAGTTATATGATCAATCATTGTATATAGTGAGTGATAACTTGATTCATTGAATTAAATTATTACGTTCTAGATTAAAATTATGTAAAATAATTGTCAATTTATAATACATAAATACATAACTTAAATCCGGTAAAAAATTGTTTACTTTAAATGTGTAAAAGTTATGTCAATAAAAGACAATACTATACGTTCTAGTTGTGTATCTTTCTTTCAGATACAAAGTTTTGTTTAAAACGTTTAACAAACATACTCATTTTTATTGTTGTAATCCATTTACAGAACCCCGGGATAACCTATTAAAGTGACGTATTGAGTGTAGAGTGTTAGGGTCGGTCCGGGATATGTGATGCACGCCTATGCACTAAAACCCAACGGGCCCATCTGCATGGACAGGAGGCAGGGTAACAGTTTCCCGTAATCCGTACGTCCAACACGAGCGACTGCCCTCATGCGCAGTCGAACTAACAAACGTAACCGCTCTAACGCTTTATATCTAATGGTAATAGCATGTTTTGTTACATTACTAATAATGGTAATAAAGCGGTATGCAAACACGTAAACGATGTATTGTGTAGAGGTGTGACAAATTGACACCAATTGTAATGTAACAAGCGTGACACATTGTGACACGCACTAATTTCTGACAGGCATTAGGCATTGTTTGAGATTGCCGGCTATTACGCCGCCTTTGTTGCTAATTATCCGTGATCGATTGTGATAATCTGGCAAAACCGCTTAAACAAATTATATTATATAATTACTTAACGACTTAAATAAACCCAGTTATGACCCTTATTACGAAAACAATAATTATTTTCAGAACAAGAATATTATTACAGTAACAAACCTGTGATTTCTAGATATCTGGTTCTATAATATTAATTGGTAATTTATCGTCAATCAAATCGATTATGAGGTTCACACTTGCACACCTTTATATTTCATGTAATAAGCCATGTAACTTCAACAAAATCAGTAAAATTAATGAATTAAGCAATTTTTATTAAACATTGTTTATGGGTCTTATAATTATTTATCAGACTTTAAAACCTAGATATTATTCATAACCAGTTTATAATACGAGCAATTATTCGTGCGGAACTTCCTTAACTTAAAACTTGTGTGACAGGAGTGAGTACCACATAATGGTGATATATCCACGTGAAACATAAATTAAATAATTAATACTAACAACATTGTCGATGTTAAAATTTAATTAACGTTTTTAATAATCTGTGGCTTTGTTGTCAAAATCTGTGGTACTTAGGCTCAACGTACTAAATCCGTATTTTTATACAGTATTTTATGAAATTTTGTGCAATACATTCGTATACATATTACTAGTGAGCCTTAAAATTTTGATTTGATTATTTATATTATTTTTAAATAAATATTTCTTTAACTGTTTACGCAGCTTGACTGGTAAATATATGTTTCTCAAGTCATGTAAAAACTGTTTTGACGCATCTTAGCTTTGTTTCAATTCAGAATGTTTAGAATTGATTAAAATATTAAATGTGTTGTATGAGGTGTTTTTTAAATCTGTCATTACGAGTGAATATTATTGTATGAGTAGAATTAAGGCATATAGCGGATTCGAAAGGTCCTGTTTCGACTAAAAAGTCTCAAGAGTTTTATTACCTACTAACGTAAAAATTTGAGAATATAAATAAAACAAATTAATGAATATACACCGTTATAAGCCGAAGAGTTTACGGAACTTTAACTAAACAATGAAAAAGCTACCTAAACAAAATTTAAATTGTCTCTGGTTACTGACTAGCTTTGTAACGTTAAGGTCTTTGACCATCTGCAACTATAAAACCTAGTTAATGATAATACGATAAATTATGCAAGAAAACAATTGTTTCATACAAAATGGTCATGAGTTTTTGGCTGGCTATTCCAATTTAATGTTTAGAATTGGTAATTACTATGTTCACACGTTCTACTTCAAGTATTCTCGTAAAATTAGATGTTTTAACATTTCATACGATTGGAGAGTATTTCGAGATTATTTAAAATTAGAACTTAAAATTTTTGTTTGAATATCATAATGTTCAACTAGCTCTTTCAGAAGACACGAAGACTTAGTAATTTCAAATAAAGAATAATTATTGATGTGTCATAAACAAGCTGAAACTAGTTTCAGCAAATAAAAAGTAAAAATACTTACATTTTAATGAGTAATTCGTAGTCATTTATCTTATTATTCATCATTATTTTTAAGACTTATTTTAACATTGATTAACAAAGACAAAAACTAGCTGATGTCATCCGACACAAGCAATAAAATTTTATAACAATGCGAAAATTAAAATTAATTGCCGCATAGTGTTTGGAAATGGCATGTTAATATTTAACAGTATAAGTTTTCCTGGTGCATGCACAGTATTTTAATTTGAGATTTAAGGAAAATAGGTGAAATCATTTTTAACAAGTGTAACATGTTTAACGACTTTTAGAATAAAGAGAGGGGTTGACCTTCGGAGAATCTATTTTTGTTCTATTTTCAAAATTCCTTCGGATTTTTTTAAATCTCGCTATTAGCCTGTAGGCTGAATGGTGAAGTAGCTGTCCCTATTTAAAGTATACTAAAGGAAAGAGATAATAATTTTAAAGCCATTTTTAGTAAAGCAGTCACTATAGTGTCTTCGTCGCTAAATTTAAACCGTCATAGGTTTAAATTATCCTTGACTCTAAAGAGGTTTAAACTTATAGTTTATATAATTAAGTCATAATCACACCAGATTTCGTCGAGGTTTAAGGGAATGATACATTGAAGTTTGGGGTTAAATTTGCCTGTCCATTACATATTGTTATATTTTTAAAATTTTGGCTGGCCGTTTAATTTTGATGCCTTTTTATGATCTCCAATTTACAGAGAGAAAAATTAAAATATTAATATGTATTCGCATAACGTACATGACCAATGTCAACTTCCTTACTGACACGAGATGTTTCTTTGAAATATTATCCTTATTTACGATGATAACATTACATATTCATGATGTTTTGGCAAGAAATAATGTAACAAAAATTGCTAGTAAAATAAAATTAAAATTAAAAAACGGAATAATATTTAAATATCATCTGTCACACGGTAAAGAACCTAACATTTTACCTAAAAATATTTAAAACGGCCTTAATGATACTTTAATTCATACTTTAGTCATAATTGTAAGAATTAACTAAACTATTAACTCGCAAAGGACACGGAAAGTTACGTTTTTTATAGCGTCATACTAATATTTTTATAGCAAGTATAATGTGGCAGAATTTAGTAGTAAAATTTATCTCTATCTCTATAAAAATAGTTATTCAACACAATTATACAGAATCTCCATTGATTGTTGAGGGTTTTAGCAAAATAAACATACCTCAAGTTCTTAACCATTCTATTCTCACTGGGTAGGTCAAGGAAGTCCAGAAGAAACCGCAGTCGCTCCACGATCTCCCTGGTCTCCATACCGAAGATCCAACCGAAATACATCATCGTTTCTTTGATGGTGAATTCTCCATAAAGAGCTATTTCTTGGGGCATGTACCCTACTCGTTTTCCGGGAACACCGGAACCTAGTAAAAAATAAAGCTTGCTTAGAGATTTCTATACGTACATACCAATTTATTTTGTAGCATAGGTACTCTCTTTATACATAAGCCTTTGAATTCTTTGTTGTTGTGTCGCTCTGATATTTGACCAACCATATCGTAGAACGTGAAGTAGTACGACGTGAATTGAAGCACATTTAAACAGACATTGAAATCTGTTTATATGATAATTATTGCACTATAGAAGGTATCATTTTATTCTAGAATTAAAGGTTAGGTTATTATTCTTCTTAAAACAGAGTACATTGTTGAAAATTACTATGCCATTTCCTGAGATTTGATAACAAAAATCTATCAATTTCTATAAAGTAGTTATCCTTATTTATCGAGTTTAATCCTTTAATATATACATAAGTCTATTCTTTATTATTTTATCCATATCAATTGAGTCACATTAAATCCAGTACTTTCAGGTATCAAACTACATATAAACTAAAATATACTGAAACTGTAAACCTTTTATAGTTTTTTCTATACCCCAGAGCTGGCACTTTCCTGGCTCATAGAATAAGTATCGCAATACAGCATTAAAGGTACACTGCCACAGTGACCAAACTTTTTAAATTTGTTTTGATTTTCTTTTTAATAATTTTTAATAATTTATATTATTACTTTAAAGCTTTTCATACTTTATTATTATATAAGCCAACATTCAATTACTCTAAAAAGTCTCTCATAAAAAATTACCTTTTGTGCCTGGCTTTCCACCGAGCACCCAAATATCTCCGCTATTCAGCTTCCGTCTGCCCACAATGCAGGAGAGAAGAGTCGTTTTGCCGCACCCTGACGCGCCTAGTAGACCATATCTGTAAAAATACCCGTTTAAATTTACTATCTACCCATACTTATATACTTTTTTGTACATACTCGTACTAAAGATGTAGAATTGTATTTATTGTTTGATTAGGAAAAAATACAAAAATTTGTGCTAGCTAGTATTCTTTGTGTAATTGATATAAATTAAATAAACATTTTATAGAAGTACGGCGTGGTAGGATTTAGTATAAATAAATCAAAATAAACAATTGGCGCTACAATCTATTTAGGCAATACAAAATATCTGTTGTATGATAATTTGTTAATCTAATAGGCAAGTAGGTGCAGGGCCTGATTAACCCTTAGGCTAATTAGGCTGCAGCCTAGGGCGCGATGATCTAGGGGGGCGCGAAATCAAAATTTATTTTTTCTAAGTAAAGTAAATACTAAGTAAAAACGGGCCAAATTGAGTTATAAGGGTGGCGATCTTACATCGTTAATAATTATTATGCAGCTATTTACTGTCTTAAAGAGCACTTTAAGACAGTAAGTAAGTATTAGTAGACTTTAAGTCAGCTAAAAAATGGTTTCAAATTGAAGGACAGCGTTAGTTTAGCTGGCAGATCGATCTGAAATCTTTTATAGATAGTATGAACCATGTTAAAATTTTCACATTAGAAAACAAAGTCAAAACTACTTTTTAGACGGACCGTAACACATCTGTCACCTGGCGGGAGCGCATCCTGACAAATAGCCTAGAGCGGTCAGAACTCTTGATCAGTCTCTGAGTAGGTGATCAGCCTTCTATGCTTGACACTCGCCATTTTTGGATCTAAGGCAAGCCGGTTTCCTGACGTTCACACATAGAAAGAAATTCCAATGGTGCACAGCCAGGGGATCTAACCTACGACCTCAGGGATGAGAGTCACACGCTGAAGCCGCTAGGCCAACACGGCGCTAGGATTTAGTTTACAGAAGTCATTTCAAAGAACCTTTAAAGCGAATATCCTCCTCTTCCTATTCTATAATATATTTAATTTTTTTAAAGTTTTTTTTAAACAATTTTCTAAGAAAATGCCGTAGAAATCTATATCAAAGGTTTTAAACTTGCAAAATTACGCCAATATTCATTGCAAAACTACGCTCATAAATGGAGTCTAAAAATCTATCGAAAAGCAGTTAATTAGGAAGCTACTATTAGCACTTTTATATTATAAAAGCTAAAAATATAATTCTTCAAGGATCAAAATTAAAGGATTCTTGACTCAGTATTTTTGTGCAGTACATGACGACATCAAACCAAGGAGTTTAAGTGCGTTCCGTTCAACATATTATATTAAATACGATGCAATGTTGAAACATCCCGTCTGTCGTAACCAGACTAGAAATTTGTGCGCCAAGGCAGCCTCGGTAATTGTCGAATTGTGTGTTGTTTGATCATTTATATTAAACTAAACAAATACATTGATAGATTATGAGATTTATATCATTGTATCGAAATTTTAGGTGTCTCGTTCATAAGTATTATAGGAATAGCACAGTTTTCTGATCCTTAATTTTTTGTGTTACACTATTGACGGAAAAATTATAAATTTACCATTACGAGAGTTCAGAGAATTTGTGTGCACGCAGAATTTCTGAAAAATGATCAATGAAACGGACGCATAAAGGTCTTTGTACCCCATTGTACAGTCACTTCGAAGATAGTATTTACAAACCATACTATCTTCGAAGAAGCAATCCTAAGTATCTTTATCCTTCCAATAATACAAACATCACACCATTCTACGTCACACTCTATTGTTTATAACTAGGAAATCAATCATGCTTATTACCTACGTAGTAAGGGTCAAATTTGTCATCAAACCGTATTTGCTAAGTATAATTACTTGTAGAGGTTAATGTTCGTTTGTTCGCACTTGGCTTGGTGCCATCCACCCTACGTATGGAAACGAATGGATTTTGTTGCGTCTACATGGGGTTAGTTGTCAATTATTGAAAATATTGTTTCAGCTTAAAATCACAAGTTTATATTAGTTTTACTATAGTCTTTGGTAGTGTGAGTAATACGCAATGAAACATTTGTAACGGATATAAACGAATATGCGCTCTTTTCGCCTTACAACTATTACGGTTAGCAAGAGACATCGGTAAAGAAGTTCTAATTAAATATTTAAATAATCACGTTCCTTTTCACGCCTCCGTCTTTGATTCTATAACTTACGCATTTATGGACACAAATTTTGGAATTAAAGTAAAGAGTGATTTAAATATCTATAATTACTAATAAAATATACAAACTTCTAGCCCATAAACTTAATAACGAAAAATGCAATAATATATTATTGCACCTATAGGTTTAGGCACTTAAGGCGATTGAACTTAATATTCATTCATCAATGACATAGGTTAATTGATTTATCGATTAACAGTCTATTAATATTTCATAATAATTAGCGATGGAAATTATTCGTGATGATATGTCCAATTGAGTTCTATACATATGTTATAGATATTATCACGAGATAATAATTATTTGTCAATGTTTTATGGATCTAAGGCATATCGGTTTCTTTGCGATGCGTTTCTTTCACCGTACAAGCGAGTGTTAAATGAGCATATAGACAGAAATTCCATTGGTGAACAACCGGGGATTGAACCTTCGACCTTAGGGATTTGAATCGTACGCTGAAGCCACTAGATCCATACTAGTGCTCATTCAAACTTACTTATTGTATAACATTCGTCTGCGACTGTACGGCGCCAGGTTTGCTTGGGAACGCCACACTTCCGATTTCTTTGCGGGTTCCAATCAATCGCCTGCTTGGGATTATGATTGGGATCCCTTCTAAGTGTATGACCTATCCACTTGCGTTGCTTGATCTGCTGGCTGATCGGGGTTTCTCGGCAGCGCTCCCAAAGTTGCTCGATATAAATTTTTTCAGGCCAGCAGATGCTCAGAATACAGCGGTGAAGACAGCGCTTGACGAAAACTTGGAGTCGGTCCGAGATGTCTTTGGTGACCTTCCACATTTCACACCCATAGCCTTGACGTTGGATCCGAATATTTAACCTTGATTCGACGCGTCAACGTCCGTGACTGCCATACAGGCCGAAGTTGTGCAAAGGTTGCTCGGGCCATGGCAATGCGTGAAGTGAAACTGGAGGTACGGAAGAGGACATCTCTTCTGTTATCCAGTTTCAGACACGACGCTTCCGAGGTAAACAAATTTTTGAACGCTATCTACGTCCTCTACACCCATCCGCAATGGGGTGCGGTTCTCAACTCCATCACGCATTTCTTTCGTTTTCCGGGTGTTGATTTTGAGTCCCGCAAATCCCGCCTCGCGTTCCAGGTCGTCCAACTTAGATCGCGGTGCTTGTGACTTAGCAGACATAGGTCATCGGCATAATCCAAATCTTCCAAGATGTTGGTTAATCCCCACTCTATTTCGTGGCGCTTGTTGCGATGTGTGCGATGCATAATCCCGTCGAGAACAACCAGGAAAAGTGGTGGCGAGAGTAAGCAGCCTTGTCGGATGCCCGCGTGTACTTGAATATTGTAAAACATACTCAAGTGATTTTAAAATACTTTTCGGAAAATAACACAAGCTATGTTTAACAAAAGTTTAATTTTAGTAAAATACAATCAGAATTCCTTAGAGAGAGAAGAAAACATAGAGATAAATTAGACAGATGCAGTTATAACATTACGTATCCTGAAAACTGTTCTTTATCTTGCTTATTTCTTTATATTTAAGCATAGATCAAATTAAAACTTCAGACAAATTTATACACGTGTAAGTAATATAACTAATTATTGGAAAAATACGACACAAACGACTTAATCAGTAGTATTTATAATGGTATTTAGCAATGAAGTACAACTTGAAGGCAATGCAAACATTTTACTCATTGTATTTACAATGAAAACAAACATTGCCAAGAATGTGACGGATCGCATCACTAAGCTTTGTATTTTGTTTGATTTGTGTGAGAAACCAATGAACAAAGTATTGTTGAATAATGCATTAGGAATTGGAGAATACTTAATCGCGTCTCGCCAGTTTACTTTGAAATTTTTCACAAGGAATTTGAACGAATTAAGGAAATGTAAATAAAATAATTTATTTGTAACAACATATACCTATATTCTAAAGCAAAAGTATAGTAATAAATTGGATTTTCTGCGTAAATTTTGTGACAATTAAGTATGTACTAACTTTGTTATTAAAAGATTTCTATTGTTCTAGTTTCACAGTATAAACTACTACACTATGCATGTTGAAATCAATTAAGTTTAGTTTAATTATTAATTAAGTTATTGAATATAATGACTCAATACCTACATAATCTAGTTTACTTAATCTAGGTTTTATAACGTGTTTTCTTTTTGAGTCTAAGCTTAAAATCAATATAATACATTTTGGTATATGTTCTGCTTCGTAGTACTTGCTACGGCGTAGCGGAGTCACATACTATATCACTCCAAATTTTTGAACAAAAACTAATAACTAAATATACTTACATTGTCCCCTTTTTGACGGTCATGTTTAGTTTACTAAGAACATGGTTCGGTCGTTTGTTGGATCCATAGTGTTTGTATGCATTCTGCACGCACACCGCCTCCGCCCGCTTTTGTAACGCCTAGAAACAAGGAAAATGCTTTAGAAGCGTTTTAGTTTAAGAATATATCTTAATATATATAAATCTCGTGTCACAATGTTTGTCCTCAATGGACTCCTAAACTACCGAACCGATATCAAACAAATTTGCACACCATGTGCAGTTCGATCCAACTTGAGAGATAGGATAGTTTAAATCTCAAATTATAGTCGCAATTTTAATTTATTGCAAAATATTTGTTTATTATTTGATACAATTCTAACAGATGGCGCTGTGTTAAAATTATCAACGTTTCACATAAGCTGTCATCTACCTTTCACATAAGTTCTCCTACCGTTTCCCTTGAATAGTTTACTACTATGTAATATAACAAAAATCTTAGCCAGAGCAACACTTGGCCGAGTCTACTAGTATTATATATATACATACAAAATCGCGAGACCAATAGAATGGTTAGTATGTACTTATGAAATAAAGAAACATTTTACTTGAACCGTAAGGAACTCATGTACGATGATTGAATTAATGAACAATTCTCAAAGATTAAAAGATATTGCTTTTATTTAATAAAGAAAGTCAAATAACTCTTTAGAGGCCTTGTGAGTTCCAATCTGATGGTTTATATTCTGCACTGAAGTAATAATTTTGTCATAGAATAACAAAGTGTCGGTTGCAATTATTTCTGATTTTACATTACTCACCAGTGTATTTTGTTTATCGCTTGGCGAGGAAAATTGTATCTGGCTCATCTTCGACTCCTTCTCATCGCCCAGCGGCGACGGAGGCGAGGTCTCTCTGTAATAAAACATTTTTGTTATTATTGAATTTACGCATTGCCTTATTATCATATAAAAAATATCTAGGATAGGAATAATAGGATGCCCAAACTTTGGAAAAAAATTCAGTTTAGTATTTAATAAATATAATAAAATAGAAACCTTAAATTTTAAAATATCTATCACTCCTTTTGCTTTATTGCATGTCTCACTGTTGACTCTAATTACGTATTTAAGCTTGAAAATATATTAAGATAATGTTTAGTATATTTTGTAATACTGTATTCGCCGTTCATGCCATGTTCACAAATATATATTTCAGTCTCAAACCACGAGTAATATAATCTATACTTTAGTCTAGAAATTACTTGCCATATTTATTGATTATGAAAATGTACTTTTGAATTTTTAAAACATTAAAATTAAAATTATATTATTTTGTTCTATTATTATTTGTTCCCTATGTCGAAATAATGAATAAATAATAACAGTCGTGTAGCAATTACGAGAAATCGCATCAGTTCTAGATATCTTAAGTTCTGAGATAAATAAAACTATAGAAATACTGATAAACTTGTTACTTGAGGTACTAGTTAAATATCCTGTTCTACCGATGCAACCCTACATAAAATGTAAATTAACAGTATGATTTAGTTTTTCATCTGATGAATCTTTACCATAGATTAAGCATTCATCAGACGTATAAGTTTTGACATATCGCTCACGGTCGCGTGGCGAAACAATTACGATAAATTACGCTACAAAACTCTCAGACGTATAGCTGTCCCGCTTACTCCGACCTTGGTGAGTGCAGTTACGTACTGCTATTCCGTTTTAGCGTGAGCAATTTGACGCTGTCAGTAATGATCATCATTAAGATTTGCGTTAAAGTGATGAGTGTCCATTACTTGGGCGGGTACAAACTTTTTGTAATAAATCTTGAACATTGATAGAACACTACTTCACTCGTTAGTAGGTATTCCTAATAGACACGCCCTATTAGAAACGGAGTTTATTTGTAAGATACCCATTCTATTTAAAAGCACGGCTCGAAGCATATCCAGTAATTCTGTTTTGTAATTTGGTTTATTGAAAAATTAATAATTTTTTTTACGCTACTTAGGTAACTTTGAATTTTCAGTAAAGCTAATTTGAAAACTAAACTAGCACATTACGCATTTCCCAAGACATGCACCGACGTCATTACAATACCGTCCTTGAAAAGTATTTATATTCAAATAACAATTTACGTATATTAACAAAAAAAATGCAAATGATCACAAAAACTATATGGAAAATCTCAGAGGAACAATAAGGCTGACACGACCCCAACCTCTGGGCGAGATAATCATTGTCTCGTAATAACAGTGTTAAATGTAATAATAATAATAAACCTACATAGTGTTTACACGTATGCTTAAGAATGCATATTCAATCTTTATTATGTTTATAAGTAAAAATATACAAAAAATTAAATAAGGACATATTTTAAAGTTTTCAACTAGTGCTTAAATATAATGTCAAAACGTGTACGTCTGTAGATAAAATATGTCTCTCCTAATCGTACTAAAATCAGTGTACATTGAAATTTATTCTCTCTATATAAATTAAAATTTATTTTGTTATTTGTGTCATTGGTACACTCAATATTTTAGAGAAATATTCGTTTACAATGAGTGGAGTCCGTTGTATAGTCAGCCTTTTTTAATTATTGGTCAGGAAGCTGATAAATACAATTTTTTTTTTTTTCTTTATTGTAGAACGACACAAAAATGTGTCATATCTTTATATCATCTATACAAAAATATATAATTGTTACCTCATAGTATTTTAAAATATTATAATTATCTCTCTATCTTATATTATATTTAATATCATCATTTTCAAAATTAAAATCATTATTAACAACTAAATATTACTGAAAAAGATCAAAGTAATCGTTTTGTTCTTTACGCTTAATGGAACAAGACATCCTAAAGCAGAAATTATAATGAAAATCAAGCGGCTTTAATAATGTCTTTCACAATCAAGCTATTTATAGGAGTAACATAGAATATTTACATATAGCTGAAATGGTATGAAGAAACTGGTTATTTTAGTTAGAGTCACATAATGCCCAGCAAAAAGTGGAATTATGCAAAATGCAATCTTTCTGTAAATACTTAAAAAGATGTTATAAGCTCGTCGCTTACGTAAAGCTGACATTTAGTGAGAAAATCGATTATTGCGTAAAACTTACTAGGAAGGAGGAAGAACGTATTGTCTACGTGTCTTTAATATTGCGTTGCAATCAGTGGCTATATATTTTAATTAAAATAAACTACGCTTTTACCAGATTAAAGCAAAATAAGTGTTTTATACTAATTTAGGTTGAATTTTATACAATATATAGTATTACAACGTACATACAAATTTTCAGTTAATAATCTTAAATCTAATACACAATATTTTCTATGGAAACTCCGCCTATAGAGTGTTTTTTGTGTACGAAGTTTTATGCTGTAACTGGCTATACTTGAAATATCTTAAGCGAATTGTAATTACGGTCTATATGTTACTGTAATATTTCTAAGATAAAGAAATTCAGGTATTTTTTTCTTTTTTAGCTTGGTTCCTAAGCTCGTTATGTATGCTTTAAAGTTAATAGTATAAATAAAGAAAAAGCCCCTAAAATTATAATAAACATCCATAATTCACCGAATAAAACCTCCTTTGCTAGGATCGGTTAAAAGATAAAATAGTTTTGTATCAATTCTAATCATAAACAAGTTTTTACCTCACCTCACCCGAAGGTCTTGTCACATCGATTTCAATACTATTAACTCATTAACATACGTTTTTCCAATAACCTCGATACTTCCTCGCAGTGTAATGGACCAGATCAAGGCTCTGTTTTATATCTACTAGATTCAGGTTTATAATCTCTTTTTAAATTAGTATATCAAAAGAATCGTATATTAATAAGAATACAACAAACAAGTATTTTATTAGGACATAATATAACGAAATAATTAAATAATTCAAACTTAAATAAAATAATAAAATGCAAGCAACTGAACAACAAATTGATGAAAAATTAACTATGATATTGTAGACTCACAAAAGTGTCGGTCCTACATAAAGGGTTAAGGATTTTTACTGAATAGATTTAGATTACTTTCTTTGTGTGGTACTAAAATGTGCATATGACACCTTAGCGGCCTATGAAATCTAAAACATCAAAGTTACTTTTCGTTATAATTTAAAGTTAGTAAAGTTAAACTTACGTTTTTTTTGTATTATATTTCAGTTGGACTTTAAACTATAATTATGAATATTACATTTGCATTTATAATATGTTTTTACTATAATTTATATTTAATAGGTACAAAGTATCAAGTTCTTGTCACTGTCATCATGACAATTGGCATAACTACAGGTATTAAACATGACATTTCAATGATATTATAAAATTGCACTTATTATAAACAAATTACATGGAATTGTATAATAAGGTTTAGTTTTATATTATATACTGTATTGAAAATAATTGTATTTTCAAAATTAAAACCGTAAAGGTCTCTTTCTTACTTACACTTGCATGTTTTAGTAACTTTATTTGTTTTTTAAGAAAGTTGTGCTTTTCTTTTATAAAATATTCTCATTAAATTATTTTATTTAAATTCGCATCAAAGTTGGTTTGTTATAGTTGAATAATAAAATTAAGCACGTAATTGCTGCAAACACATTATCCTTTGACCGACTTGACTCGCTAATCGCAGATGTAAGGACGTTTAGTACTTGCAATTCTTTGTATATTGACTTACATAGTTTACCTTAATAACATAATATAACCGCAATTACGATTTAATTACTTGGTTAAAATTAACATTAACCTTATACTTCCAAGGAAATAAAAAAGTATATTTTTCAAGTAATCCCGGACTCTATGTTTAATACATCCATTGAAATAGCTACATTAAATGAATTATGTTTAAGAAAATTCTGTTTAAAATAGCTTGTATTTAAGGTGGAGGGATGTTAATGGTTTGATTTAAAAATCAGTTTACTCGCAGAACTCCCTCAATAAGGCACGAAAGAAACATTCTGTATAAAACATTTTATTTCAGATCGTATGTTGACCATATGTAATTTTTTTTTTTTTTTTGATTGGACATTCACACCAATTGACTTAGTCCCATGCTAAGTTGGTGAAGCTTATGTTATGGGTACTAGGCAACGCATATATATACAACATATTATAGATAGATAGACATATAAATACATATTTAAACACCCAAGACCTAAGCACAACACCAAATGCTCATCACATCGATGTTTATCAATTAGTTAGTCATCTTAAGCTACATAGTATAATAATAATCAAAATATGTAATTATTTGTAGTTAAAAATTTATAAATAGAAAATTAAAACAAATTTTACAAGTTTGGTCCCTGTGGCAGTGCACCTTTAACGCTGGCAGCATTTCCTCGCTGTATTGCGATATTTATTCGTTAAGCGAGGAAAGCACCAGCTCTGGGGTCACCGGTACTGTCTACCAGGCAGCAACTTAAATATTTAATTAATCCTATCACTGACTATTGTTTTATACACTATATTATACCAAGCAATGTGACTCCTGAAAATATCTAAGTTATAAAAATTTCTAAAATGTATTCATTGTAATGTAGCATATAACATGGTCCGTTTATTAATTTGTTCTTTGAACCCAGTTGAACCATATCATTTTACGCTTTTAGGGTAGATTTTATAATTTGGTAGCTATGGTCCGCGAGGTCGTTCAGAGGTCATTCGGTTCGATTCCCGTCGTGGACTGACGCAACAAGTTACATCAACTGACCGGTTGGGGAATCTGGGTCATGATCTCGGCTTCCGCTAGAAAGTATAATCAATCTATAGCTTACAGTTTTACTTCAAGTAGCTATCTGGCGGATCATTTCTACTAGTGGTGCGATATTAATATGGACTTTGTATGAAATTTAAATATCATTCAAGTTTGTTTTTATTTAGTTTTTTAATTATTTTTTGTGTT